GGGGGGTGGATGCATAAAAGGAAACAGATTAGCAACACATGGGAGAATGACAAACACACACATGAATTGACACACGGATGGAATGAATCGAGCGGCAACAAACCATTGGACTCTACTTAGGAGACCTTTTGATTTGAATTAAAGGCGAGGGTATTTCGGGCACTGTTTAACAAAATGGATTTGTAGTTATTAATTTGGCACACCTTGCAGTGGAAAGGGGAGGATTAGATAGGAGATGCACTGTAATTTAAGGGCATTGAATTGGATCTATATATATGGCACATGAAGGACACAATATATGGAGGAGGAATAATAACATGAAAGGTTGGTGATTTATAACTAATACACAGGAAGAAATAAAAAGGGACACCAAGATTACTGACACCTTTTTTGAAAAGAATAACAATCACTAATATATGGGACACCAAAGGGTATTTCACATAAAACGAATTTAGTCATTATGACACACATGGTGCAACGGAGGTTATAAGAACGAAGAGGCTAGTGGTAGAGTTTATGATATAGGTACACAAATTTATTAATTACTATGGATACTAAGCTGTAACACTCAGATTATATCCATCATCACGGTTATGTTTTAGATATTGGAGCTTCCCTGGTCCCTTAAAAAAAAAAAAAAGAAATAGTTACATAGTATTTGAGGTTGAATAAAGACATTAGTCCATCAAGTCCAACCTATTAGGATCTCATTCTAGGAGTACCTGTACCCCTGTATATTACGGTCCCTTAAGAAATCGTCCAAAAGTTTCTTGAACAATTCCACATTCTTTGCTGAAATCACTGTCTGTGGCAGTGAGTTCAATGTTTGTTATGTTTCTTCACACAGCATAATGAAAAATAAAATTTAAAAAAAATATTTCCTACCTTTTAGAGTAACAGCAATTAAAGACTGCTAGAAGCATTGTGAAAATATATTTTTTTAGCTTATGCTATGTGAATGGGATCAAATATAAAAATAGGCGTTATCCCAATTTGGCTGCAAAAGTGGAAATACCCTTTAAACCTGCATAATAAAAAAAAAAAAAAACCCTGCACACCAAAAACACCCACGTGCACGCAGAAGACATTCCCAAGAGACTTGGTGGGGCTTCAGTGCTGGAACAGGGGGAGGCATGAGAATTCAGACCACTGGCCTAGTAATCTTGCAGGGACCTTACAGCAGCTTTTTCTTTTTTTTTTTTATAGGACACCACCACTTTAAAAGTATAATACTTCACTTTCATTTTGTGAAGTGGGGCAATACAATTAGGGATGCACCGATATATCGGCCGCCAAAACATATCGGCCGAAAATTGCACTTTTGGCATAATGCCGAAATAGCCATGTTTCGGCCGATGCATCGGGTCATCCCTGGTTTCTTTTCTCCCCCCGCTGGGCGCTGTTCCAGCGGGGAGAAAAGAAAGGTGACAGCCGCCGAGCGCTGCAGGAGTCATGACTAGAGCTGCAACAGTTAATCGATTTAGTCGATTAAAAATGAATAAAACTAAATATAAAAAAAAAAAATTAAATAAAAAACATTTTCGGTATCGGTTTCGGACTGACATTTTTTTTAGTTCGGTTTTAAAAATTCCATTTTGGTGCACCTCTACAATTTATGGAAAAAAGTCTGACAATTTGTAAGTGTAAAACAGATATAAATAACCTCCAATAACTTCACTTACAGAATAAAAAAAAAAAAAAACACGTGTATTTTTAGATACCACCACACTCCGTCTTGACTAGTTTGTGTAATCTCAGCATATAGAGTGCAAGTGGCAGCACTTTAAGCCAATCAGGCTTTGCAAATTAGTACCGAAGGAAACAATTTATTAAACTGCTCTACCAATGTCTTACCATCTCATTTAAGGACATTCTGCGTTGAGTAGGTGTGATCTTCTGAAATGGCAATGACTTGCTGCAACAAAATAAGTATTTTAAGAAATGACACAGCTCAACAGAACTCGGGTTACTTGCTTCTGCAGATACTTGACTACATCCTCCCAACTATCACAAGGGAAAAGATAACCTGAAAATGTGCTACTTTTGGGGACAGCTCTATCTGTCCCCAAAAAAATGGTATAACATTTTATTCCGTCATGCAACGCTGTAATGAATGTCAAAAGTACTGCAGCGCTGAATACTGAAAAATGGCCTGGACAGGAAGGGGGTGTAAACACTGCAAAAAAAAAAAAAGTTGAGTTTACTCTGTTGGATAAAAGCCTCATTTAAGTGGACTCCTAGTTGGTATAAGAAGGAAGAGGGAGCAGAGGGTGGGGGACAGCAAGTATAACTGCACTTTCATAAAACTAAAGTCGATGCAAGCTTACCGTCCCCTGGGTGTAAATAATGTGGCATCCATGAAACTTGTAAAGAAACCATTGTGATCTTGGTCTACGGTATCTGAATCTTCGACAGACACATCTGTAAGAGAAATAAACATGGTCAGATGTGCATATTTTTGCACAGCTGCAAATAAACAGTCATCCAGCCAAAAGTGAATGCCACATGTCCATGACTACATTATGAATGGGGAAAAACAGATCTTCAAAAGATCTACCCAATTCCAGGACATGAAAATTAGTTGCCAATCTCAAACATTTGTCTTTTTTGCTCTCCAAACTACACTAGTGATTGTCTGTAGTGGCAACTTGCAACATCACCAAAAAAAAAAACCACACACACCTGCTCGTCTGCTCCTACAGAATAACATGCACTCTGGCAGAACCAACTATATAGCGCCTTATCACAAATACCTTGCTGGAAAGAGATTCTTCTAGGTTTTAGCCAGCCAAAAGTGATGTCATAGGGGCAGAGGGTGGGGTCTTACCAATCCTGACACATTTCAGTTGCCCCCCCATAACAGAATCACTAGTGTGACAAGGCCCTAATAGTGTCGGTACACATTGTCTGGTCGGTTTATGTGCTCTCCCCAAGTGGTGTTATGACTGACACCACAGTAATGAATACTCTCAACACCTTGTCAATCTTACAACACATACGCACACATATAAATCTGCTGTGAGCAAGACATTGGGACTCCAAAAACAGTAAGTTTTTTTTTTGTTTTTTTTTTATGTAGACAGCATTTCCTGAAATCCAGCAACATTCAAACAAAAAAAAACCATGCATAGGTGATTTTTCAGTCCAGGTTGATTTTTAATGAGTTCATGAACTGATAGCGCTGTCCAGTGTTAATTTGTCTTTTTTTAAATCTAGTAATGAACTAAATACCCATTATTACAGACGTAAAAGTATATTTTTCTATGTTTGGAGGCTTACGTGGCATGTGTGGTCCTGTCACATACTGTGTGCAATATACTTCTATTTTGCACTGTAACACGACTACAGAATACAGATTAGGTTTGGGTTCAGATACCGAGAGTTGGCATAGAATTCCCGTAAAAGGCAAACCTTTTGTCAAAAAGTTTGTACATTTGCTGCCAGAAATAAACAACCTATAATACAGTTCACTTGACTTTGTCCTAAGACAGTATCACTAATAACCTAAATAAAATATTTTCAAGATGCTTTTGACCCTCCAAAGCAATATGGGAAAAGGTCTCCTACACTAATGTTTCAGAACTTGAAAAGCAGATGAGATCTAGTGTGTGCAAGTGCCATTGTATTATATGGCGGCCTTCATGTGGTTGTGAAAGCCAGTCAGGGTAAAAAAGAAAAAGTAATTGGTTATGATATTGACCAAAGAACAGCTTTAATGTATAAAATAAAAATAATCTGCATACTGTATAGAGAGAAACCAAGAAAATTGTTAAGCAAAAAACAAACAAAACACACACACACAAACCACCACATACCATGTGGTATATAGCTCCTTTAACAGGGTAAAAACCATACCTGTAATAGTGACTGTGTACTGACTAAAAACGCTGCCCCTTAAAGCTTCTTCTGCTGCAGGGTCAAACAAAAAGGGAGCTAGTGCTGGCTGAAGCTCAAGAACCTAGTTTAAAAAAAAAAAAAATTGATCATCAAGTTTATAATTGTGTCTTTACTGCTTTTTATTAAAGTAATAAAAAAGGTTCTGTTTGCACTGTTCTGAATTTAGAAGACAACCCAAAACAAAGCTTTATGGAAGTTACCTATCCACAACTCAACCACTCAAGTCATAGAATTTGATAGGCTGCAAGGGGTCAAATGTCAGCCTGCCACACCACCACCAACAACCATGGTTAGGTACATGCGCTTAAAGTTACACTAAACTCAGGAGTTAAGGTACTTGAATGCATTTTTAGAACACGGTCCTTCCTTCTGGAGGGTGGCTACTTTTGTTCCCCATGGTCCCTGTGTGTATTGTAATGTAGTCACCGCTCCAAGCTCACTCACGATAGCGGTTAGCTCTGGCAGCAATATCAGAGCACAAGCATGTAGAACATTTCCAGCAGACCCACAGCTACAAAGAGTGCTTCTTTGTGATCCTTTGATGCATGTCACGACTGGAGGAGCTTTAAGACAAACTACTCCGGGTGGACATCGTGGCGAATGGGGCAGGAGATTGTCCAGAGAGCGCGGTCTGACCAGTGATAGTCAGCTGTACCTCCATTTGACACATGTAAGGAGCCGACAATTATCAGGGGATTTTGCAACATTAGAACGGGGAGTTGTCTTCAGAACGCTACTTGCAATCACATATCTGGTATGGCACATCCACGGGGGGGTGATTTTCAGGAAAAGGGGAGCTGCCGAGTGCTGTATACATACAGAACTTTTTCTCTAGGTGTTGAACTTTGTCCTCAGTCAGCGATTCGGTTCATTTTCTTTAAGGTATGCATTGTAGTCCTTTCTATCCATATATTAACATCTAGTCTACTAGAACTCTTAAATACACATTAACACTAATAAATCTACTGAACATTAATAAATCTACTGAACATTAAATGATATAAGTACTCAGTTATGTCACATTTATTTCTTATATTGGTCTAGTTTATAAACCTAACTTGAGATACACAAAGGCATTTTGTGACATTTTTACATATTTTGGTTGTATTCCCCTATTAAACTATTAGATTTATTCAGTTTATATTTGATTCACTGATTCATTGCAGAGGGATTTATTCACTCATGCTATTGCAGCCTTCCACTTTGTGCTATTTAGACAATATCACATATGTTAATATGTTTATCACCTTCATGAATTGATTCATTTGTTACACTTTGTCACACCGTTTTATTTGTGTATATATATTGTGTGTGATCAACTTACTATCCATTTTTCACATTTGATTTACTCAGCACGTTATCTGAGAGCACATTTTATTTACTTTTGGGAAGTTTTTAGCGCTTTGTAGTTTGTCATTTGATTATAGGAGCCCTTTGGCTGTTCAGTATAGAGGCTTTTAACCACTGTCCCTAATCTTTTTTCTGAGCGCAGAATGATTTTTGTTTTTCAAAAAAAAAAAAAAATACTTACTGGGTTGAGTCCTTTGAAGTGGCCAAAAGGCGACTTCCCAAGAATCCTCTTCCACTTCTTCTCCCAGTCTTTCTGTTTTTCCACAATCGACTTATTAATGGAAACAAGATCTTCTCTCTTTATTTTATGTCTAAAACAGCAAGGGTCACATGAACAGCCTGAAAGAAAAAAGCTATATCTAAAAAAAAAAAAAAACCACAAGTCCGCTTTGAAGGACACCCATACAGAATACAATCTGACTGCACAATAAAACTTTAGTTACTAAAACTTGTTAATAGCTCCAGCCTATCTGTATCCAAATCAGGCAGGCCCTCACACTATTATAGTTGTTAATAGATCTAAAGGAAAATTGTTCAAATCAGATTGTAAAGCAGGTGGTGAAAATTTAGATCAACCTGTGTCTGCTCCGTATCTGTCCGTGACGATTTCTCTTACTTCGCCCCGGTCATCAGAGAGCATTTTTATTCTAGGGAGATTTTGTGACAAACAGAGCAGATTTTCTCTCTATCTGTGTATCAATCCCCCAACATTCTGCACACATTTCACATACATCAACTGATCATGTACCTGGCAACCTTCTCTTGTACACAAACTAAAAATCCTTACAATTCTAAGCATAAAACAGATGAACAATTTATCACAGCATACATCTGTTAATTCAACTGTCTAGAAGGCAAGAGACATTACCATACCAATAAATAAAAACAAACAGTTCTAGTCTCGTGAATTCTGCATCCTTTTGTAGACGTTATTCTTTTCTCACCTTGTGTGTCTTAGCCTTGTAAAAACTTCAGTTTCAAACTTGGTTTTTGCAGCAAGATACTGAGGGTCCACCTGAAGTTCTTGGCCACTATTGCAGTCTTGTTCCAATTTGATAACTTTTAAGGTTTCATTTAGAAGCTGGACAATAGTTATAAAGTTCACTTTTCCAGCTTCATACACATTTTCTATTTGCAACTGTAACATGAAAACAAGACCAGGTTCAATCACAATGTTTGTGGGGGGAACACACACACACACACGTCAAGCTGGTATCAGAGATATTTAATAAAAGTGCCATGCTGAACGCACAATTTAAACCTATTTCTATGAGCCTGATCGTATTCATACACATTTTTACCATTACCATAGAAGGTGCATTCTGTTAAACAAAATATTCCTTAAGCTGTATTTAAGATGTTAAAGTGTATTTTTAGTTTTGGCTAGAATGAAGAAAAGATGGAACCACCGGGGGGGGAGGGGGGAGAAAGGGAGAAGGAGCAGTTTCAACCCTCCATTATTCCAAGTTGGTAGGAGTTAGAATCAAAACACGCACAAATACTATAACGACCAAGGTTTGAACAAGGCCTTAGGCAGACATGCCAAACTGATGATTTTAGGGACCACATTTGGACAGCTCACCTCTTTGTAACCCTTAGTTTGGACTGAAAATCCCCCTAGCTGTTCTCCAGCTGATGACTACACTTAAACAGTTTTGCAACTAAATACATTATTACTATATTGTTAGTTACCAGAACGCTAAAATCTTTTCCCGGAAATATCCAGTTATGACACAGACATAATACATCCACTTGAAGATTGATTCCACCAAGCTCAGCACACAATTTTTAAGCCAGACATGCAATTGACAATGATACACTTACCCTATGCATTTCACTTTCAATTCTGCTCACCAATGCACTGGGAATGTTCAGGGAAACTTTAGACCCATCCAAACAGTATTGATTATCATCTCCAACAATAGCTGAATCCACAACTTCTACTTCTTTCTCCATGGCTTTCAGGTTCGTCATAATGTTCTCCCACAAGCTTCGCACCTAAGGTACAGGAAGGAAAAAAAAATAATATCTACAATGCAATAAACTGCATCATATGTGTGGCCATATAGACTACTTGCCTTTTGCAGAAGAAAAACAGAACAGAAATGAGTACAGTAAACATGGCACTGACATACAAAAATGTTGCCGCTTACAACCCAAGGACGTTTTTTGAAAACAGATGCGTGTTCACATACCTCCTTTATTTTATCCTCTTTATTTTCATCATTTTTGACATTTTGTGTTGCTCTGAAACAATAAGCACGATGGTAAGGACAGCGTACGGCCCAGAAACTTTACTGCAAGTACAAATGAAACCCACCAAATGCAGTTTGTTTTACCAGTACATCATAAACTAGTTATTAATGCAATATCTTATTCATTATCTGTAAATGTTAAAGCAATGCTGGCCCGTATATGCTGGCCCGTATAGTGATCTCTCTCCCCCAAAACTATGGTCTAGAACACATGTGTCAAACTCAAGGCCCAGGGCCCGAATTCGGCCCACCAGGCCATTTCCTAGACTTCTACTTTCAGATCTAGGTATTAAGTTATTACTAAAACCAGTGATAAAATCGAATGCAGAGGCAATTCTGATAAAGATTAGATACATTTATATAGTCTTACAGGCCCTTTGAGGGCAACCATAATGTTGATGTGGCCCTCAATTAAATTGAGTTTGACACCCCTGGTCTAGAACAATGTTTCAATGTTCACAAAAGCATTTAACACACAACATAGTGCTTTCTTCACATAATGGGGTTGGTAGCCTCCAATTAAAATTCCATAAAGGTCTGTTGGAACGAAGTGGTGGGTGTCACTTTATTCAAGCTATGTGTTGTCAAAAGTGCCCTCTTTTGGCTGCAACCGATAAAATTCATATACAAGATTTAAAAATCATCTGACTAAAATAAACGCATTTTTAAAAATATTTTATGGTCATGAATGTACAAAAGCACTGCATATTTCCTTTAACATGTTTTTCATGTATTTTATTTTTTGATAGCAGTAGAGATAGGCAAAAAAATGGGAGGGTTTAGAACCCCTTTAAGGTTCTGAAAGTGGATTGTAATAGGGAGAACCTGTTCGGTTCCACCCACACCTCTGCTCTCTGCACAGACTATGCACAGAGAGATGCCATCACTACATTTACAAAGTAATATCTGGATTTGCAGAGGTAACAGGCATAGAGTGGATATATCCATACATACACTTTTGGCTTTAAAGACTATTTGGATAAAAGTTTGTGCCCCAAGCTCAGCTTTCAATAAAGCAGAACCTTTCACACCTCAGTCTAAATTTCCAGCATAATCCTATAGATTACAAAATCGTAATTTGATATTAAATTGTTCCCCATTTTCCTCAATTTGTGAATACGGTTTCATCCATTTATTCACCTGTACGGACCAAGCCCCTTTTCTCATATATGGCAGATTCTCAGAAATTCTTGCACTTAAAAATAAAAAAACACTTCACACACTGTGTTTTTCAGTTGGCACAAACAAGCCAAACAGCACCATTACACTTTAGTTGAACAGGGTACAAATTTACCTACCTGCCCTGATTCTGCAAAGCCCCATACTCAGAGCGCAACTCCCTTATTTCTTTTACAAGCAACCTTGCAAAAAGAGAAAAAAAAAAAAAAACACAACTACTCAGACATTTTAATTTAATTAACTTTGTTTTTAAATCACACATTGGAGAAAATGCAAAAAGTACCAATGACAGAGCTGCGACCAGTAGGGCAGTGAAGAGGAATAGCAGCAAAAAAATAAGGCTAAATATTTCCCCTTATTCCTATAGACCAGGGGTCAGCAACCTGCGGCTCCGGAGCCGCACGTGGCTCTTTCATCCCTCTGCTGCGGCTCCCTGTCCAGGTGTTTAGTACTGAAACAGCTGTTCGGTCCTGAAAGGTCACTTCTATCCTACTGAGTGGGGTGGAATGCGAGATCGCACACAGAGTCGGATAGAAGTGACATTTCAGAACCGAACAGCTTTTCCAGGGAAGATGAGTTCCTCTGCACATACGATTTGCGATGCTGATCTGCCCTGGAACAGCTGACCTATAGGCCAATAGGTCAAGTGAGAATGCTTGACCTATTGGCGGTCACACATTCCACCACCAAATAACTGGGCGGGATTACATTGAAAATGTGTGACCATGTCACCGATCATACATTGTAACCTAGTCACAAACTTTGATAGAACACAGCCATCAGGGGGGTATGAACGGTACCCATGTGAGGGGTCTGGGCAGCCTGGGGGGCCTCTTACATGAGTATCAGCTGTACCAGGGGCGGCATGGCAGAGGTGACAGGGGAGGGGGTGGAGGAGGCCAGGCCCCAGCAGCAGCAGGTAAGATGAGTTGGGAGGAGGTACAAGGAAAGGGACACCGACAACCAGCCCACCTGAGGCCCTGCAGAGCCCACTATAGAGAGTCTCAAATGGGCTGTGCAGGATCTATGGTGTGCTCTGCAGGGTCACTCAGGTGGGCTCTGCGGGGTCTTAGGTAAGCCCAGAGTCCAGTGCGTTACTAAGCCCACATTTACCTATATACATACTATACATAGCATAAAGGTAACAAAAACGATATATGCAGAGTTATCTTCATTTTAGATATCAAAAGGGTTTTGTGGCTGCCGGAGGTTTTCTTTGCTGTGGGAAACTGGTCCAAATGGCTCTTTAAGTGTTTAAGGTTGCTGACCCCTGCTCTAGACAATGAGTATTTAACCCTTGCACTGCAGAGAGGACCACAAAACAAGGGTAACTTTCTCCAGAACAGGGTTCAGCTTTAAAAGTAGTCTAACTAAAGGCAGTGGGGGGACATTTCACAGGGGGGAGCTTACACAGCACAGTCTTAATTTAAGAGTCACAGCAACCCCAGCTAAAAGACAGTGCTTTCCTCCCTGCAGTCCCAGGCTGCCCTCACCTCCTCGTGTTCGCTCCAGCCCAGACTCAAAATGATCATCTCCCTGCACACAGTGACAAACAGTATATAGTAACCACAACCAGAACCCTGGCCAGTGAGCCCCTAGGTCACCGACGTCTCACCTGATGAGATGAGTAGCCGTCCTAAACCCCCCCCCCCTCCCCAGCTCCTCTTGTTCGATTCGGTCTAAGGCCTCATTCACACGAGAAAAAGCTGGCACGTACAACTCTGTGCACGGCCGTATCGGGCAGCTCCCGGGAAGGACAGCTGCTGCGCATGATTAGTACGCAGCCCCTGTCCTTCTGTATGGGAGTACACGGCCGTGCCCTATGCTCACCCGACCTGCACATCCATGCGGGCGAGCATACTCGTAAGCTGACAGGATGGATCCTGTCAGCGTCCGAGCCGGGACACCCACACTTGAAGTGAGCTTAGGGCGGCGAATGGCCGCGTACTAAATCACACGCAGCACCTGTCCTTCCCAGGAACTGCCAGATACAGCCATGCACGCAGCTGTACGTGCCGGCCTATTACTCTTGTGAATGAGCCCTAACGAGTACACATCTCCCTGTGACGATAGTGTGTGGGCGGGTCTGTCGGAGGCTGCTATCCTCCGCCTCCCTGCTCCTCCTCGCTTCAGTCTAACATCTACCTGTGACGATCGTGGATGGTGTGGGCGGGTCTGGCATCGGAATACCCCCACAAACCCGCCCCGAACTGGATCAGTCATACAGAGCTGGGTGAGGCGGGGAGGAAAAGCAGCGTGCGTGGAGCTGCAAGCAGGGCAAGTAACTGAATGACCAACTAATCGATTTCCATCATCATTATGATCGACTCAGTCGATTGTTCCAGCCCTACATTTCAAAAAGCACTGACTAAAGCCGTTACACCGGCTCAGCAACAGAGACTGGGACATCCACCAGTGACAGTGGAACTTGATAATGTGACCCACTGGCAGGAAAGGCTTCTGACTTAGGAGGCACATCTAGGTTGTTACTAAATCAATATTATACTAAAAAAAAAAAAAACACACACCCCGCACATACGCAACAATCTGCATTTTCAATACTACTCACTGTGCTTTTTTCTGGTATTCCCTAACCATAAAGTTTTCCCTCTGCAGGGCTCGGAGGTATCTCTGGCGTGCCAACTTATTCCTTGCCAAAGCCTTTTCCGGGTGCTGAATTTGAAACTGAAGGGAATCAGGAATATAGGAATTTGTGCCTACAATAAAATAATTTGTTTAATTACCAAATAAGAAATCCTAAAGAGGAAAAAAAAACAGGAAATATGCAGGTAGACATTTAATTCCATTTGCTCCTACCTGGCATGAGCTTGCCTGTCACCCTTCTGCTGATAAGCTCAAAGAAACTATTTCTTGAATTAACAGAGGGCAGCAGGTTAATTTTAAACCTGAGCAAAATCAATTGACCATCTTCTCACTGTCCAACATGCCCTGGACCAGACTAGTGTTTACAAGCAGTGATATGCTATTGGAAAACACAAACACATAGACCGATTCTTCAAACATTTATTCCCCAGGCACATGGAGATATGCCAACATTTCAAGACCTTGAAGAGTCCCAATAGCAAGATATAAGCATACTTCAACTTTAAGCCCAACTTCAATTTAGTACCCCTAGCCCTGTCCTTCCACCCCATGGAATCCTTCTCCACAATACATTTTTACTATTTATTACTGCACAGTCAAGGTGCATATACAGTAACAAATTTGCTGGTCTAAGGTTTGTTTTTATTTTTAAACACCAAGTGCTGCAGCAAAAAGGTTAAAACTGGAGTTGAGCTTTAACTGAAAAAAAAAAAAAGAACTATTGAAAATAATCCAACTCACCATCAACATTTCTTTTGATATGTTGTAACATGACATATCTGGCAAAATGGTACAAGAGTTGTATAAACTTAGGACCACCAGGTGACAGAAATATGGATGCCACAACTTGTGGGAAACCACTGCCAGCATCTTCCTATGGAGAAAAAAAGACAATTACCACAAGCAAACATTTACATACAATAAACTATAGTTAGGGGATGAGTAGGCAAAAGATAGGAGGGAAAGGAAATTATATAGTCACTCCACTGACAGCGCAGAACTAAATCTTGTAGGAAAAAAAAATATAGAACAAACAACTTACAGAAATCTTTCTTAGCCATTCATATGATGCCTTTCTAAACTCTGCATCTTTCTTCTTGTCCAGTGGAGGCCAACAATGCCTAGTGGAGAAAAGACATTTGGGTAAACATACCTCTTTGTGCCAGGAAATCATGCAAAGATCAAAATATGTGACAAATGTTAAAAGCATTAACTTTGCCATAGCAAACTACAGGTTATGAAATTGTCTAGTCTGACATTCTCCATTTTCACTGCAGAAGGCCCTGTTATCAAACAATGTATAAAGGGGCTCACACAGTAATTTGCCTGCTCTACTATTAAAGTCGAGGGCTGCAGAAGTAAAGGTGTTCAAAACAAAAATGTGAGTAGTGCCTTTTCTTAAGCCTTTTTTGTAAACATTGATGCCGACTTCTACGGCTCTACAGGTGCACACGCATTGCAAGACATGAAGACAAAAAGAAACTATATGTGGGTTGCCTTTTACTGTGGAGAGAAAAAAAATATGCAACAAACAAAGAATGGAAGATACAGTCTTGAGAACTGCATTGCAGTGTAATGTGGCTCTCAATTAGGGATGCACCGATACTTGTTTTTCAGTATTGAGTAGGAAAACCGAAAACAATTTCTGTACTGGACGATACCGGAAGTCCCATTAAGGAAGCCCGGGGGTGTGTAATGACTCGCTGCTCAGCTTCCCGATTGGCCAGCTTACCGACCAATTAGTAAGCTCCAAGCGCCCTGGTGACAAGGTAGCATGCAGCCGGCTTCCTGGCCAATCAGGAAGCCGGGCAGCGTGTAATGACTTGCAGCCTGGCTTCCCGATACCAGAAGTTCCAGTATCGGGATAGGCATTGGGAGCATTTGGGCGATTACGAGTACTCGCCTAAATACCCGGTATCGCCACCGATACTTGTATCGGTATATCCCTACTCTGAATTGATGGTTCCCATTACCCTCAGAAAACCAAGTGAGTAAATTAGTCACATGTTTTTCCTCAGCTAAGGCTCAGCATTTGTAGCAAGAAACATAAGGGTGCAGTCTGCTGCAGGTGGAATGCCTGAGGAAATTCAATTCTAGGTGCACATCAGCAGGCCAAAAAGGTCGATCACATTGGAGGTGGGAAATTAATTTTCAGAAAGTCAAAACCTTGCAAAGTCATTTTCAGTGGGTTTCATTTTTTTTTTTTTCTTTAACTGATTAATCGAAAAAATTTAAAAATCAGCCAACTAATCGATTATGAAAATTGTTAGTTGCAGCCCTAAATTAGTTCAACAACTGTCATTACTTAAAAAAGGACAAGTTTGTTATTAGTGAACTTGCCCTTAACTACTTGAAGTTTCTTTAAGATGCATCTCTTGATAAAATCTGCACCAAAGTTTCTAGAGCACATAACCTTTGTGCAGGTCCACTAACCCTGAAAGTCTGACCTTTCACCACCCTAACATAATTAAAAAAAAAAAAAAAAAAAAAGCTTTGGAGGGCAAAAATAGAGAAATAAATAACTGGCTAATACTTTACCTGAAAATCTCCCTGCACTGCACAGCATTGAGCTTTGAAAACAAAAAGTGGAAAACCACATAAAATGCATCCTTATTGGGCTTATCAAACATGTGCCTAGAGAGGAAAAAAAAAAAAAAAAAAAAAGGCGGACATTAAAACATGAATATGCAGGAAAAAAATAAAAAGTTTAACAGGGATGCTAACTGCAAAAGAGCACATCAACCAATTGTCATTGCCCTGGTGAACTTCAGTGTTTTATGAACATGCAAAACCCTTCTTAGATTGTCAGTGGAACACGTGTCCCCATTTAAAGATGTGTAGACTACTTCTTCTGCATTCATGCTCTGATGGCCATTCAGAATTTCACCTTATTTCCTGTCCTGATGAAGGTGCTTATTAGGAGCAAAAAGGAGAATTTCATTGATACAGACAATGTACAGGTACACGCATTTCAATTTTTTTTTCCATTCAACCTGCGGGCTGAACCAAAAATAGAACAGATTCCTCCAACACTTACGAGTGTTAATCAAGGAATCTCCTGTTTGCATTGAATTCTGGCAGTAACCGCTGTCAGAATACCCAAACGGAGCTGAGCTGATTGGCTGCCAGCTCTGTTCTGCCAAGAAATTTCCAACCAGCTCCTTCAATGACCTGATTGAGGATCGGGATGACGGGCACTGTGCAGATTTCAGCTGGTTCACCAGGAACAAGCCAAAACTCATCCCAAGTGTACCCTACTTTATACAGCTGCTGGAGTGAACTGGCTCCTCTGTGTTCAGGGTGTATTGAGAAACCCTAAACACGGTTACATGCACATTAATGCACGCACAGGTACTTTTAAATGCAGCAGAAAGTTTGCTTATGTCTCAGGCTTCTATTTCCAAATAAAGCGGCACCTCGGTTCACGAACGCTTCTGTTCACAAACAATTTGGTTCACGAACAGGAAGTTCGTCAAAATGTTGCTTCTGTTCACGAGCTCCGCATGGGGTGATGAACATAACTGCAGCCATCTTCCCTGCTCTGACACATGGTCGTGGCTTCCTCTAGTCGAAATCGCTGTCTGATCACAGTTTGCAACCAGAATTGTGGAACAAGATAAGTTTGTGAACTGAGGTACCACCGTACAAAGAAAAACCTCCTCTTGCAGGGGGGCTCCCCCCACCCACACTGCAGGGTTAAACTGCTCCATTGACTTACCCGTTCTTCACTACCCTGGCGCCTCCCTTCCATGCATTTTAGCTCATGGACTGTCCCTGGGTGTCCTCACACTTGATGTAGGTCTAGGAGGCGCAGCATTAGACATGACGACAACAGTGGGCCTCTGACCACTGAAGCAGAGGGAACAGGCTGCGAGCATTTAGTTAAAGAGACACGCAAAATCACCCTAGACAAGAACAAGAAGTTAACCCTTTGCAGGGCAGGGGTAGTCCAACTGCAAGGGGAGGGTATTAGACATGATGACACCAGCAGGCCTCCAACCACTTGGAAGAGGCTGCAAGCATCAGTTAAAGCAGGGGTAGCCAAACTCCAGCCCTCCAGCTGTGGTGAAACTACAAATCCCATGATGCATCTCTCTCCAGGAGCGATGTCTGTGAGAATCTTGCAATGCCTCATAGGATTTGTAGTTCCACCACCACTGGAGGGCCAAAGTTTGGCTACCCCTGAGTCAAAGAGACAGCAGGTAACAAAACAAGCAGTTAACCCTCCCTGGGGTGTAGTCCCACTGCAATGGGAAGTTTGTTTTGTTTATCTGTGGTGGTAGGCTTTAAATAAACTAAACATAGAAGGCTAGTGTGAATGTAGCCTTATCCAGCCAGCAAAGGAGCAACACTGGAAACAGGTATTTGTCTGCCCTGCATAGGGATACTGTCACCCTGTGACTAGTGTTCAGCAACGAAAACCAGGAGCAGCTAGAAATAACATCCAGATCACCGACGCTTACATTCCAAAGCAGACATGGGCCAAGGTTTTGTTGAGGGTGGCCGCTTCTGCTCCAAGCTCAAAGCCCAGGGCCTGCAGAGTCAGCCACAGGTGCTCCTTCCTCCAGGGGGACTGGGATCGTGCGGCGCTCTGCATTCTGCCGAACAGGAAACGAAGTGGGCACAGTACAAACTAAGAACGGAAACGTGAATGATAAAGACGAGCAGGAAGTCCCGGTGTGATGGCTACACAGGCTGAAGATGGCCCGCCGCCGTTCACCATATCAGTCTATACAACAGTGAAAGTGCCTCCGTTCTTTGCAGCTCTACTCGCCAGCTGCCAGACACTGCTCAGCGGTCTTCTTTCCCATCATTTTAAAGATTATTAAAACTTTTCTGGCTGCTAAAGAGGACGCCGCCATCTTCTCTTCCGAACCGCCAAAACAGCTCGTTCACTTTAACCAATCAGCTGGCTGCGAGGTCAGAGAGCGCTCTCTGGAGTCAGCCAATGGCAGATGAGGAAGTGTAATGGGCGGAGAATGGAGCGGGAAAGGCGTGGCGGCGTGCCCTACCTGCGCGCGCGCTTTTGCGCTCGTCCCCGACAGGGAAGGTTTATTCACGCCAGCAGCCGCGCTTGATCGTACGGCAGCTGGTGTGGGTGTGCCTAGACAGTGCCCATGCGCTGGATCGAGCCGCTGTTCTATCGGCCATATTGAGTGGGGCAACTTACATTAATAACGTGCTGGATTACTGTAAACCTAGTTTACTTTAATACTTTATTGCTGTGTAGTATGTGTATAGGGAAATGCCGCGGGTGGCCCACATGCAATACAGCCTTCTCGGCCAAACCTCTTACTTCTAACTAACCGGAAGTCAGATGGTTGGAGAACTCAAGGAGTTGGAACTTTCTATAGAACATCGCATCGCACTGTTTTGTTTTTTTTGGTAGAACTTTATTGAAATATCAATTTTAACAGAAGAACATTAAAGAAGAACTGCAGGATTTTTTGTAAAAAAAAAAGATTATACTCATCTGATCAACTGTGACAGCACTCCCTCCAGCCTGTCTACTCCTTCTCTGGAGTGCAGCAATGGAATGTCCCTGGGCGCCCTCACCACCTGTACATTATAAAGGGAATTTAACAAAACTGGAGCGGAGAGAATCTGTAGCAGCTGTGCATGGCAACCAATCCGCTTCTGTCTTTCATTTTCAAATCTTAATTGAACCAACTGAAAAGAGAAGCTGATTATTTGCTATGGGCAACTGCTCCAGATTCTGTCTGCTCCAGTCTTGATAAATCCCCCCTATGTAAGGAACATGATGGCTCATGGAACCATAGACTCCTGCAGAGGAGGGGGGAGAGAGGCTGGAAGGACCGGTCTAAGAACAGGCTGGATTAGAGGATCGGGTGAATATAACTTGCAGTGCAGGGGTAGCCCCAATGCAAGTGTTAATACAAAATCTGTGCCTACTGAAGGCACACTATAGGCACACCAAGGTGCAATGCAATTATTCCATATCTCACTGCAGTGTGCTTATAAAAAAAAAAAAGTGCTACAGGCCGTACACGGTGGTATGAACTGTGCCCACCTGTGACAACTCATTCACTAAAGGGTTCAAATTCAAAGTAAATAAAGAAACCACACTTTTAGAAAAAGTCCTTTAATTTTTTTTTAAAACGAGTCAATTTTTGACTATTCCTTTAATGAAAAAAAATGGCTGCATCGATGTAATCCAGCGTCAATCACGATGCACGACACCCGCCGAAATCAAAAAAGTCCCGCTGCACGACGAAAACTTGCCGCAATATGACATTCACCCCGAAAGAAAAACGGATGGGCGTAGCGAGCCGTGACGTCACGGCTTTGCCCATTTGACATACTCAGCTGTCAAATACAACAGAGCATTCGGGAGCTCCCCAATGCTATTCATGAGCTCCCGAATGTCATTCGCGTCTGTGAGCCGAGGTGTCATAATACTTTTCATAAGCAACGAACGAACATTCGTACAGACTACCGCTAGCGAATTTCGTCTGAATCCGAAACAAATTGACTTTTGGCCCAGAATCCTAAAAAACAAAATAACGCAAAATACGAATCAAAATAAAACTAAGCAATTTTTTTGCTGGTGCACATGTCTACTGAGGGTACTGTTCTTTTCTTTGAAGGGGGAGTTGATTCTGTACTCTTAGATGGCATAGAGATATATGGGCGGAACAGTGGCTTAGTGGTTAGCCCTCCTGCCTTGCAGTTCTGGGGGTCAGGACACTATCTGTAAGGAGTTTGCATGTTCTGTGCTTGTGTGGGTTTCTGGGGTACTCCGGTTTTCTCGCACACTCCAAACACATGCTGGAAGGTTAATTGGCTTCTGTCTTAGTTAGCACTGTAAGCATGTCAGGGCCACAAATATAATGAAGTGGCCCCATGGGATTGTGTCATCCCCCGCACCCACTTAATTTAAATATTTACTTTATTTAATCTAATAATAGTTCTAGTCACTGTAAGGTACAGCCTTCTGGAATTTTCCGTGGGCTGTTTCTGGTTTCCCAATTTGTCTGTTTTCAGGTTACCCTTAATAGTGTCATTTCAATTCTGCCTGGAGATGGCTGTCGCTAGGAAGATCTCTGGAATAAGGTGGTCGTGATTAGTTACCTAACTTTTGGAGGAAAAAGTAAACAACCAATCAGTCGTGAGATTCACCTTTAAATGTTTACAGTCAGAAGCTCTCTTCAGCAGTGATCGTCTGCAACAGAACTTGCCCCACCCTCCCTCCCTTGTCGCGGCTATCCTTTTTGGGGGTATTGTCGCCCACATATGTGGGTGGACAGTGTTTAAGGTTATATTGGACTGGTGATGAGTATGGCTCGAGTCTGGGTGACTGAGCTACTTTATTTTAAAGTTATTTCGTTTATATTTTAGTGTTGTTGAATTTAAATAAAGAATTTATATTTTGCTTTTAACCCCAATAAAGGGCCAATAATTTTCCAATTATACCGTTTGTATAGTTTTATTTCTGTTATATATATTTGAATGTATTTATAAGTTGTGGGTGTTGTGGGGTTCTACAATCCCATGTGAGATAGGGACCTTAGATTGTAAGCTCCTTGATGGCAGGGACTGATGTGAATGTAAAGAGCTAAAATTGTTGGGGCTATAGAACTACCTATGATAATATGAAGCAGTCTATTGTGTTATGATATCAGTACTTTGACATAAATGCTTTGATATCGATACTCATTAACGCTGAGCTATAAATATACAGGCTTGACATAACCACTTACCACACCTAAGTTATAGTTATACGGGTGTAACATCATAACTTCAGAATGAAAGCATTAGGACAAATGTAATCCCAGAATTTTCTATAGGTTGTTGTACCCATTACTTTACTATATTCTTCTGACTGATAGCTCGGCTCATGCAAGAGGAAGATCTAACATACAACAAATACATATTTCACTGGAAGAACAAAACAGGGTGTCTGTTTCCCCTACCAACCCTAATTATGGTATGAGGGTCGCTACTAAATGGCAGGTACACTGTAAACTGTTTCTATTTTCAAATGACTTTAACTTACTGTCATGTACAAGTTCTAATAAGGAACATTTTACTACTTCACAGGCATTTCTCCACGTGCCTCATATACCGCCGTATGGAACTGATGGTGTTTTTTGCCTTTTCATGGCTATCCTTTGCTCACAAAAGAGAACCCATGGAACAGTCTTCAGCCCTCTGGGAATAAGAGAGTCTCCTGTGCTTCATCAGGGGGCAAAAGGTCATTTTTTTCCCATTTTCAACACCACAGGCTGTAATTGGAAATGGTTATACACATTCAGGAGCTGGGAGCCCGTCTGTGTTGTGTATGAAATCAGGCAGCTGTCTTGATAACAACTTGCAGACCTCAATGAGCCTCTTAGCTCCACCAGTCATCTTCATACATAGCGAGTAAAGATGAACAAGAAACCATTACATATCTTATATAAGATAAATTATAATAATTTCAGAATAATTATGAAAACTCTTGCATAAGTCCTTTTGTGGTTGCTTCTCTTTAAAGGAACCATAAAAAGACATTGACACCTTGCTCATGTTGGGCAAAGTGGCAGTGTCTGTATAAAAGGCACCCCCAAACCCCTAATACTCACCTTGCTAGCCCTCGTACCACTCCTGCCTCCATTACAGCCAGCAACAATAACCAGTCATTCTGGGTATGTGACCTCCTCCCTGTGTCAGTGCTCGGGTTTAGCTGCAAATCACTGGGACCAAGTGCAGTCACATGGCTGAGTGATGTAAATACTCCACTTAGCATCCGCCAACACTAGGGATTTTAGTGGTAGCTGCGATGGTGAAGTTGCCTTTTAGGAGGTTTGTCCAAAAAAAAAAAGTAATTGTAACATTATGGGTGTACTGTAGCTGAACTACATGTGGCTAGAATCACCATGCTATTGATAGTAGCCTGGCACTCATGTCATACAGGACCAGAAAAAAAAATCCCATCATTATTAACTCCCTAGTCCAGGGGTCAGCAACCTTAAACACTCAAAGAGCCATTTGGACCAATTTGCCACAGAAAAGAAAACACCAGGAGCCACAAAACCCTTTTGACATCTAAAATGAAGATAATACGGCAGATATTGTTTTTTACCTTTATGCTATGTATAGCATGTATATAGGTAAATGTGGGCTTAGTAACGCACTGGACTCCAGACTTACCTTAGACCCCGCAGAGCCCACCTTAGAGTGACCCTGCAGAGTACACCATAGATCCTGCACAGCCCATCTGAGACTCTGCATGGTGGGCTCTGCAGGGCCTAAGTTGGGCTGGTCGCCGGGGTCCCTTTCTCTGTACCTCCTCCCAACTCCTCTTACCTGCTGCTGCTGCTGCTGGGGCCTGGCCTCCTCCACCCCCCCGCCCAACCCTGTCACCTCTGCCATGCCGCCCCTGGTACAGCTGATACTCATGTAAGAGGCCCCCCAGACCTCTCAGATGGGTACCAGCCATACCCCCCTGATGGCGGTGTTCTATCAAAGTTTGTGACTACGTTACAATGTGTGACCGGTGACCTGGTCACACATTTCAATGTAATCCCACCCAGTTTTTTGGCGGTTGGAATGTGTGACCGCCAATGGGTCAAGCATTCCAACGCTTTCTCAGCTGTTCCAGGGCAGATTGGCATCGCAAATCATGTGCGGGAGAACCGATCTGCCCTTGAACAGCTGTTTCGTCCTGAAATGTCACTTCTATCCGACTCTGAGTGCAATCTCACATTCCACAACCTAGTCACAAACTCTGAAAGAACAGCGGCCCTGTCTAATCATTTAATCAGAGAAATAGATTAGAATAGGCAAAACTACGGTGTAATGTTCCCCATTATATTCCCCTTTTCTAATTAAATGAAATAACAGCACACAGTGTGCGGTTACACCCATACCACCCCCGCCCCCCCCTTCTCATTCAGACTCACCTGCCAAGCCTCACAGCCAGCATCCCAGCCAGACGGTGTGCACTGCAGAGGGCAGGGCATGTGACACACACTTCCTCTCCCGCTGCCTGTTATTAGAGACGCGGCCAGGAGAGGCGGTGAGTCACTGGACCCGCCCTCTTGCTGAGAAGCCCGGACCCTGCACTGCCACATATTCAACCAGGCCTCAGGCCCCGACAGTAGTTCTGCCCCTGGACAGGGAGCCGCAGCAGAGGGATGAGCCGTGGGTTGCCGACCCCTGCTCTAGTCTGTCAAAGCTATTTCCCTCCTATATAATGTCAGCAGAAAATCAAAAAAAGTGCTGTATAGTTTTGGAAATGAGAGTCCCAGGACCCTGAGTATGACGTGGTTCAAAAAATACTGATTTAAAGGCTTTTCAAATGTCATCTAAATTCTCATTAACTGCAGGTTATGTCAATGTATTTTTAATATTTCCAATTAATTTGCAATTTGTTCCCATTGGAAAGCTAGACATTAGCCAGGGTCTCACAAAAATGATGCAAACATTATTTTATTCAACATGTAACAAGTGCACAAACAGTAACAGTATAGAAAGTAGAAGACAGAATTTATTAGAACAGATACTTTGTGGAATATTCAGGGGGTTATGGATGGCTGATGTGACTGTAAAATATACTAGAATGTATAGCCTCATTTTGCTGCCTGAAAAGGGACTTGGGGTTGTAGAGTAGTCTATTTTAATAGTGGCACGCTATTAAAAGTGCACCAAACCCTATTCATAGACTAATATGCTAACATTTTAGTCTCAAAACAGACATCTAGCAGCAACGCAGTCTTCCTCTGTCTGGAGTAAAGCTGGTTACATGTAACAATACTAAGTATTTTTTAAACCTAATGATTTATGTGGGAAGCTGAAGTCAGGCACATCCATAATATTTCTGTGGGAAGGAGTGTATGTACAGTTTAGGAACCCAGTTACATATGTGATGAATCTGTTTATTACACGTCCATTTATACGGAGAAATCTTGCATTTCCTCTTCCATTGCCATCGTCTCTGGGTCACCTTCAGTATCTGATGACAGGTCAGAAATGCTGAAGTCAGGCACCTGGTAAAAGATCAGATAAAAATGTTCCAATTTATATGTCTAATATAAATGTTCAATCATGTTAATAGTACAGCCACACAAACCAACCTTTATACCATTTTCACATTCATGAACTTCACTGTATTTACCAGTTTTATCATGGTGCCTTGTGTATGAGTTTCCTGTGTTGAGGATACTTCCATCCTAAACAAAGCCCTGAAAGTTACTTTTATAGAAAGCAAGTTTATAGAATGGGAGGTGTGACATCTACACCAGGATGTGTGGCTGAACATCGCTTCCGAGGCATGTACTAAATGAACTCAGTGTTTGTGTGCATTGTGGAAATGAAAAGGCAAGCACTGAAGACCACCAACACATGTACTGAGCAGGGGGTGTGAATGGGCCCATATACAAACATTACTCTTACAGCGCTACACCTGCAGCATCCTGTACTTCCAAGTCTCAAACGCATGCATCTCCCCCTCTGGCTACCATAACTGTCCCTTCAGGAGGTTCTAGTGAATGAGTAGCCAAAATGAACCACAGCAAGCACCAGGGTGAGACTGCCATCCAATACCTGGAAGCATTAAATGCCTAATATAGCAGCAGGTATAGCCCAGTAAGAGTGAAGTTTAGTCACCCGCAGACCTATGGCAAGTATTCTTGTTTTATAGTATTTTTATAACATCTTTAAGCGGACTAACGGTCTGGTGTTCCATGTTTTGGCTCACATTCTGACCAAAGACTAGCAATAAAAACCACACCAGTAGCGATATGGGGATTGCTCCTCCACACCATTACACATTTATTTACCAAACCAAGGCTGTTAACTGTGGGTGTCATGAACTAGCAACTGAATGCATTTTAGTAGGTGTTCACCTAACAATGCAGTGCTCTGCCAGATAGTACTGGTGTGTGCGAGTGTAAATGTTAAAGGAAAAAAAAAAAAAAAAAAAAAAAAAAAACTTAGATGAAGCACTTGGCACACAAAAATGTACAACCCTTAGAATATTGTAAACAGTTTAAACCCGAGATGTTTAGTTTACCTTCACATTAAAAAGAAATGCAAGCAGCACTATAGCAGTCAAGTGAGACTGTTTTATAGTGCCAATGTTAACATGGACATGAGTTGCACAAATACGCAAACTTCTTTGCCCTTAGTCACATAGAAGTCAGCTAGTATGATTTGTGCACAGCAAGATTTTGCAATGCTTAAGCAGCTTTGACTTTAACTTTCCCATGCTAAAGTTTGAAGCCATTTAACACTTTAATGAGTAATGACTGTCACTAAAGCAGTTAGCAGGCCTTCAACAAAGCTGGGGGGGGGGGGGGGAGAATATATAATCTCTCCTTATGTTATCAAGTAGGCAGAGGGGACCTTGGACCTCTAAGCAGCACATGTATTATGGGTCAGTAATTTTGTAGTGAAGCCAGAGACACCAGCAAAGTAACTTTTCACAAGGTTAGCAATAGGGCCTTCTTAAAAACACATTTTACATTTATAGTAGGTTTGTATTTGAACACCAACTCTTGCCAGTTAAACGTTAGGGGTCATATTTGTGCCCTTGATTTTCTTGCATAGCTTGAACCATTGGTTAATCAAAATTATTTAAAAGTTATGCAAGCAACAGGCTTGTCACAAAGTCCATGGTCCCCCTGAGAGCCATTTCCTCACAAATATGCAAGTAGCTGCTTCGTACCAATCCTAGGTCAGGTTTTATGACACAAATTTAGCGAAGAGTGATGCAACCTCATGTGGTTTAGGAATTTTATCTTGACCCATAGAGACCCACAGCACCTTTCTATGTTCAACATTTACATAGCAGATCCATTGCATCCTGGTATGCAGCATGAACTGCAGGTAGTTTTAAAGCATATTACTTCTAGCATGGGCAAGAGGAAAGTCATCATAAACAGCAAGTAATGCAAAAATATTTATTAAATGTACAAAAGGAACAGTGACAGTGAACGGATTGAAAAAAAAAATTCCACTAGGGCACAAACTGAAAAGGTAGCATGCATTGGCCCATGTTAAAGACCAAACTTTGAAATGACATACATTCTTGCAGTGCTATATGGCCTCAGAGGGAACAAATGAATCTGACAATAATTTAGATCAGTTCAAAACTGCTTTGTGAAATGGATTAAGTGCAAAGTGACTCCTGAGATTGAAGCAAATTCATTCCTCTTTATTGGTTGCGTCTGCCCCAGCATCACCTTCTTCCTCCCCATGTGGACCAGCCAATGAGTAAAAGGGACCTACCAGCCAGTTTAGAGGAGTGTTAACTAAAAAGTCCATCACGTCATCCATGGAAGCCTTAATTTGTGTGAGCTTCTCTCTGCTGGTATGGATTAGGCTGTCTGATACTTCTTTATATGAAGAGGCAGAGAGGAAGTTCTGGTATACATCTGCAGCCATCATACTAACACTCTGGGCTTTGTTCTGGACATTTTGAGGAAGGCCTTGGACACTTGAAACCAAAGACAGGCATGCAGTTTGTAGTTGACGAGTCAGATTGCGTGCGATGGTTAGAGTGAGGGATTCAATTTGCTATCAACAGAACAAAAATATATGTTAGCTCTTAATGCAATGAAACTCATGGCTCAGTACATCATGAAGTGCTGGAAATGGTACTCACCTCAGTACTTTCAGACTCTCCATTAGTTTGCTGTCCTGTGCTCTTGGTCCATTCCACCCACTTATTGTACAGTGTCTCCTGTGCATCATTCATGTTTTTTCTGGCATATTCAATCTTGAAAACAGGATCACCAACATGGTTAGCATTATAAATAGACACTAAATTTGTAGAATGATGCAGGGGGTGGTGGGGATGATAAAGGACCCAGTAATGTCAGAAGCCCACTGTATTATCATTTCCAACCACCATTAGCTGCGCAGCAAGTGTAACTTGTCAAATGATCTTTTGCTTTTACCACAATACGCACTAGTCGTTTCCCTGCCTAGGAGGCATGTAGATAAGCTGTCCCGTTACAAGACTACATACTTCTCTGGATGGAGTACCAAGACTCCAGTCTCCCAATTCAGCACCTAGAGTCAAGTTCCCAGTCACTAGGCCACAGTTGGGGGGGAATACATTTAGTTTGGGAGTAAGATAGTGATCTGTCCCCATGACAGAAAGTGAAGTGTGACGATAATGGGGGTCCGAGTCTGAATATAAAAAAAAAAAAAAACTAAAAAGTCCATCACGTCATCCATGGAAGCCTTAATTTGTGTGAGCTTCTCTCTGCTGGTATGGATTAGGCTGTCTGATACTTCTTTATATGAAGAGGCAGAGAGGAAGTTCTGGTATACATCTGCAGCCATCATACTAACACTCTGGGCTTTGTTCTGGACATTTTGAGGAAGGCCTTGGACACTTGAAACCAAAGACAGGCATGCAGTTTGTAGTTGACGAGTCAGATTGCGTGCGATGGTTAGAGTGAGGGATTCAATTTGCTATCAACAGAACAAAAATATATGTTAGCTCTTAATGCAATGAAACTCATGGCTCAGTACATCATGAAGTGCTGGAAATGGTACTCACCTCAGTACTTTCAGACTCTCCATTAGTTTGCTGTCCTGTGCTCTTGGTCCATTCCACCCACTTATTGTACAGTGTCTCCTGTGCATCATTCATGTTTTTTCTGGCATATTCAATCTTGAAAACAGGATCACCAACATGGTTAGCATTATAAATAGACACTAAATTTGTAGAATGATGCAGGGGGTGGTGGGGATGATAAAGGACCCAGTAATGTCAGAAGCCCACTGTATTATCATTTCCAACCACCATTAGCTGCGCAGCAAGTGTAACTTGTCAAATGATCTTTTGCTTTTACCACAATACGCACTAGTCGTTTCCCTGCCTAGGAGGCATGTAGATAAGCTGTCCCGTTACAAGACTACATACTTCTCTGGATGGAGTACCAAGACTCCAGTCTCCCAATTCAGCACCTAGAGTCAAGTTCCCAGTCACTAGGCCACAGTTGGGGGGGAATACATTTAGTTTGGGAGTAAGATAGTGATCTGTCCCCATGACAGAAAGTGAAGTGTGACGATAATGGGGGTCCGAGTCTGAATATAAAAAAAAAAAAAAATAGAATTCTTTTGTTCCCCAGTCAGAGCACATACAGGCCTTAGTTTAGTCATTTGCCAGGCCTTCCACAGAACATAGATCTGCTATCTGGCTGTGATCTTTTATTGCCCCCTAGCAGAAGTGAGCCTCCAAGCCTTTTATGGCTGTCCCTAATTAAAAAGACATTGCACCAGGCCCTCATTACCAGTGGACAAGTTAATGTAAACAAGCAAGTCTGGTAGAGGTGACCCCACATTCACCTAAAAGTCATAAACCCGAGTTATCAAATCGAGCTACATTTCATAATCTGGAATTGGGCAGGGATAGTGTAAAATTAAGGGTATCCTCCTCCCTGCTTTCCCTCCCCAGCCCTGGGGGCCAGCTCCAGGACACCCTCCAAAAAGGAGCTTATAAAATATTCTGTCCAGGCGACTAGAGTGGGCTCTTGTTTTGAAAAACAAAAAGGAACTAAGAAGTGTTAACATTGCAGAAGAGTCCCCCCTTTAATCTCTGGACATTATCTGCTGGAAGCCTCTTGGAAGAGCCCTGCAGACTTCTTTGCTTATTGAACCGTCAGAACTCCTAATTCCAGGACTGGAGTGTATGTATGTATGTATGTATGTATGTATGTATGTATGTATGTATGTATGATTATTTTTATTTTTTTTCTTATTAACATCTTTTTCTGTATATTTTCTGCACCGTTTTTATAAAAGGACAATCTTAAAAATCGTTAAGCGTATCTCTACGCTCCAAATACAAACTTAAAGTATCCTTGCCTCTGTGAAGAGAGCTACTGTAGGGTGAATCCTGTCATATTCCTATCTGAGAGGACAGCGGTATCACAGGCATTGCTTAATTGTCGCAGCATTTGCTGGGCATGGTTTGTGTTCCATTACAAAAAACACATGGTGGCAGTGAACGTTTGTTAACCAACCCTGGTGACGATTGCTCTGTCTGCTGCCTGAGATTGTGTCCTGCGAGCTGGGAAATCTATGCAGGGTGAGGCAAGAGTGGTATCGCTACGTCCTTGTGACGCCCACGCTCGGTTCAGACTTGTGTATAGTCACATGGGATTGACGTACAGCAGGTTTGGGCCAGGCGTACGTCACACAGTTTGAGCTGTCACTAGATCAGGAAGAGGGCATTCTTAAGGCGATCCTCAAGTGACAAGAATGGATTCCACTTAAGTGCTCTTCTGGATGTGGCTATGGGTCACTCATGTAGAGAAAAAAAAAAAAAACATTTATAGAATAAAACCCCTCTGACATTGTAAGCTCTAGAACTAACTCTTTAGAAGACATGCTGCTAGTTTGTTCTTGTTAGAATATATGAATGCTATAAATGTTTTAACACAAGCATGCTACAGATGTGAACTAACCAGGTCAACAGTGGTCTGAAGTTGAGTAATGGCCTCCTGACTTTTGCATTTTGCATCCCTGAATCTTGTCAAGGCTTGTTGGTAAGCACGCTTGCGGGCCTTAGTGGAGAGGGATCCCAAGCGAACATAGTAGCTTGCTTTCTCTGTTGATACCTCAAACCCTTCTGTTTGTGCAGCCTCCGTTGCTTGGAAAAAAAAAAAAAGGGGAGGTTAAAGTTAGATTTTTCAAAGTGTTTTAATTGCACCAGTTAAAAGATTATGCCAAAAATGTAGGGAGTTGGTTGCCCACAGCCATTTCAGCTTGAAGACAGAGCACTCTGCATTTGGTTGGTTTTTGCCATGGATAGCAAACGGGAACTGTGGTAAAACCATGTGGCAAGAATGCCAATGTTATAAAAAACACTGCCAGGGGTGCTCCACAGTAGCAATTTGTATTATACCATAAATGTAGAAACCCAACACCCATAGAAAGATCAGATTGTCTGAGTTTACCAAATGTCTTTGTTTAAGCCATTCACTCTTCACAATAGGCAAGCAAGTAAATTCAGACCACTATCTCAACTCTGATTTATGGTGGCAAAGTGTCAGGTCAGCGGCAAAGAGGTTAACATTAGCTACCCCAACACAGTAGTTAAGCCTTTGTAATTAAGGCTAGTACTTACCTAGTTCTTCATCAGTTGGTGGCAGATATTGTTCCAGAAGAGTCTCAGACTTGGTAAGCGCAGTATCAACACCACTGCTCATCCTACGCACAGCTCCGCTCCCAAGAACAGTGTTAATGCTTCCATTTACAACAGCCTTGGTCATCTCCACACTGCCACACACAGCTCCCTTTGTCTTATCAACCACTCCGGTTATGCTCTGGATCACAGCATCTTTAGCATGGATCACAGCATCTTTAGCACCAACAACCACGTCAGAGGCATTAGCAACAATCTAAAAAGGAAAAGAGTAAATTTCAGTCTTAAGAGTGTTAGTGTTCTTCCACTGGTTTATTACAGCCAGCAAAACAGTATTTGGGATCGTTTTACAGTTTTGGCAAACCGATCATATGACCTCTCAGAAAGCAGATAAACCACCACATAGATTGGCAGACAGTGCAAAGTTGCATTTTTGTTTGGCTTCAAATTGTAGAGCTGCATGAAACCATTTCAAGTTTGACATCTTCCAGTGTAATTATAAGAACCGTTTTGAATTAAGATCCCCATGGCCAAAAAGTCAAGCCATAGTTCTTATGGGTCACAAGAAGAGATTTACCAATGTCCTCATGAGAGAAAACCCAGCATATTGCAGGCTACTGCTGCAGTGGTGCAGCCAGGAAAGATCGACAGTCAGGATCCACCTCACTACCCGATTGCCTCTAGAGGTAGAGCCCAGCTGTGCCCACCCCCTTCTCATTCCTCCAATCAGTTCTGGAGGATCAGAGGAATCCCTGCAGGGAGTAGTGACTGACAGTTCTGCTGTCTCCACAGAGATCACAAACTGTTGATCACTCAGTTATTGATCAATAGAGCCGACATGTGACAGCTGCAGTGTGACAAGTCAGCTCTAACTATGGGGATGAGTGCATTTCACTCTCCCCATAATTCTTTACTTGTGGAAGTCACTGCTCGTTTAAGGTCCATAATCCAGTTCATGTTTTATAAATCATTTAAATGAAACATGTAAGGGTTAGCATCCCTGTAAGGTTTTTATTACCATCTGTGTCCCTGCTGGGGAGATGAACCCTCCCATTTTCTAGGCAATGGCTGTCATAATGTCCAAAACCTGGAGGTGGCACTGGAAGAGAGGTGAATTCTACCAATGGGGACGCTTTTAAAGGATTTTCATCACTTTTGGTTTTGCTCTTGCGTCTATAGGACAGGAGGTTAAGGGAAATCTCCAGTATGGAACACAGACAGCAGAATACCAAACATTTAAGGTAAATCTACATTTTGTTCTAGATTAAGCCAAAATTGTGAAGTCTTCACTCCCTAACCTGAAGCACCATGGGAGGGAACGAAAGGAAGCATTGGGTGCTTCAATACTGCCATTGTAAAGTGTTTTTTTTTTTTATATTCGTTTACCCAAAAATGCAGCTATACTGCTGTGTAAGCTTTTGTTAGTCTGAGCATGAATTTCTCAAATCAGTAGAGGGCACAATGTAAGAGCCAACTGGTAGATGAATGATCAGCTTATTACTTGTTCTAAACTACAGGAGTGCTTAAGTAGCTGCAACACTTACCTTGTCACTAGGCTGATACAAAATAGGCAGTCTCTCTTCAATCTTATCAAGTCCAAGGCAAGCAAGGTTGTTCGCTATGGCAACTACAAGATGGAAAGAAAAACCATTTAGTCTGCAGCAACAGTAAAGTCTGCAGTAAAGTTCAGGGTGAATACTGAGCTGTGTGAAGTTGGCAACCTAATGTTTGTGAAACCTGAATAAGACTATACCATTCATTTGTGCCACAAAAACTAGCGTTTCTGCAAGGTTCGGTTTTTGAGATATTAAACATTCAGTTTAAGCCCCACCCACTTTGCACCCCATGTTGCTGAAATTTTAAACCAAACACGTCATTCGTTTGTGCTGGTTCGGTTTCAGAGATATTGCCCATTATAGTTGATGAAACCCCGCCCACTTTGCACCCCATGTTCCCGAAATTTAAAACACACCATTTGTTTGTGATGCTTTTTGGTTTCGGAGATATGGTACGTTGTTACCAAACCACACTGACTTTACACCTAGTTATTAAATCTTACATACAACTAGATTAGTTTGTTTCCAGCACAATATCTGCAAAACCAAAGCGGCACAAACAAATGGTGTGTTTGTTTTTAAAATTCGGTAACATGGGGTGCAAAGTGGGCAGGGCTTGAATGGAATGTTTCATATTTCAAAAACCGAACCGGCACAAATCAATGGTATATTTTCAGTCAGGTTTCACATGGGTTGCCAACTTCACACAGCTTGAATACTGAGCAACACTGTCTAGCTACATGACATTTCACCTACACAAGCCGCTAGGAAACCAAGCCGTCTGGCTCTGCAGGGTTTACAGCTACAGAAAATACTCATTTCTGGCAGTTGGATTTTTAGGAGACTGACTGGTTTGCTTTAAGTTGCATGCTTAAAACATTTGACCATGAACATTTTGTCAGATCTATGCGATTGTTCCAGCATCAGTTTCACTAAACACTACATAAACAAAGTTGGTTAAAAAAAAAAGTTTACTGTAATGGTAAGAAAACATACCAGAAATATCAGTTTCCATTGCTGCCTTCTGAAAATACCCATTGCCAGGGAATTCCTAAAATTATTATAAGGCAAGCCTTTAGATCAACAGTTTTTTTTTTTTTTATCTACTTGTTTGCTACCTGAAGGTCTGAAGCCACTGCCTGGAGCAAGGATATTGAAAGCAATCTTTAGAAGTCATGTCAGAAGCCTCCACACTGTAGCAGTGCTCAAATGAAACTATACACCTATACTAACTACACAACCAGTTACATTTTTAGAAAAAGAAACATACTTTGAGGTTCCAGTTTGTGGATTATTGGCATGGCCCCAGTCACAGCCACTGTAGTGATAGTCTTCACACTCTGCTCTGCCACACCACACACCGATTTCAGGTAGGGATGGGAATCCTTAGTGTTAACATACACAGATGACACTATATCATATGTTGAGCTCACCAAGGGGAGGTTAATGAGCCTAACCACCACATTCTGTTGTGGAAAATGTAAGAGTTAGACATCAGCAATCTTTTATACATACAACTGGTCATTCTACCCCCAAAGACAGAACTGCAGGTCTGTAAAACCCTATATGATTACACCTTAGAAATGGAGCAGACCCTCGCTTTTAGAGGCAACATGTAAATAACACCTTCAGGAAGTCTGAAAAGACCAAAAGTAGTTCAGCAGTTCCAACTAAAAGTAAACTCTGCTGCCTTACTGCAGTAGACAAGTTGCCACCTACCAAACCATGTACATTCATATTTAAGATACAAGACGATTTCTGGCCCACATCCCCTCCCTATACCAAAGGGGAATTTCACTTTCCTCAGGTGAATTAGGGAAAGAGAAATTTCCCTTTAACTGAGTCATGGGGTTCTCACTGCAGGATTCCACATTTAATTGAATTCAGTAGGGAATAAACACTTTTCCAGATTGCATTGCAATTGGAATACCTTTTTGGCTCAAATTGTTTTCCAAATATGCATCAATTGAGCAGGTTCTCTAGATTTATATTATGGCTCTGCACCCAGGAATGTGGTATGGGATACACTAGAGGCATATTTAAGAAAAATGTTAAAAAATTAAAATAATTTAGAAAACGTTGGACACAGTTTAGGCTAGAAAAACAAGCCGAGTTTATTACTAATCAGCTATCCGAACAAAGAAACTTTAATAAAACCCTTTCACAAAATGCTAGATACAAGCTCTTTTTACAAAGCAAATGCAATGGGAAAAGGACTGGGCATCAGCACAAATCGCTTGTACACACTGGGGAGATTAGAACAGATCCAGAGAAGATATTAACTTCTCTCCAATTGTTTCAGTCACTATAGTCTACAGCTCTCTATTCAGTTAAAAGTTTGTATCGGTTTTCAGGAAAGAGTGTCCTTGCCATCTTTACCCTCCATAGAAAATGAACAATTAGAATCTCCAATTACCGTAAGTTAACCACTGCTGTTTGGCAAGGCTTGTGGGATGCACAGCCTCACAAATGAGGTTTATATAAAGTAAGATATTTTATATACAAATAAGTAAACTAAAAAGAGATTGTAGTCCATCACAGGATGGAGCGGTGACTACTTTACAACACACAAGGGACCATGGGGAACAAGAGTAGTTACCCTCCAGAAGGAAGGACAGAGTCAGGAATTCAGAGAGGATTTGAGGATCTATAGCTGAGTGATACACAAATCAGATACGTTTTGTTAATAGTTCAGGTGATCAAATGGATTTAAGACCCAAGTTTAGTATCACTAAGGTGGTTAAGACCCACAAGCACTTCCATTACATCTTTAAATCACCATCTATTGATAACAGAAGCGGCCTACTACAGACATCTAAAAAGTTTTGTTTGGAACAAACAGACAGTTGCTCAAATAGACTGCAAAAGGGGGAAATACACTTTAAAAGCCTTTAGTTAAGAGCTTCCCACTGCAGCTTTCAAAGAGCAAGTACTTGTGGCATGCAAACCTATAGATAAACTAGCCCCAGCTGATATCATCCCCCCCTGAAATACTTGTAATCCCAGCCTAAGACCGGAAAGTCCGACTTTTACAAAAAAAGAGCCATTGACAAGGAAAGGATAAAAGGTAATAGGAAGGTAAGAGTATTACACTGGCCATACACCTTACAATTATCTGCAGATTTTCTGTGGTCAGATGGAAAAGGTGCAACAGATTCCTCCATCTACACTTAACCGTGTGGATGGAGTAATCTCCACCTGGGCCAATCTGTTGCACTTTTCCCATCTGACCACAGAAAATCTGCAGATAATTGTAAGGTGTATGGGCACCTTTATAGACGCACGCAGTCTAGTCCCAGTTACCTGCTGCTGTTGTTGTTGCTGCTCCACTAGCTCAGCCATAGTGTTCAACCTACAGGATAGAAACAGTACATTAGTGATGGAGGCTTGAGCTTTCAACCACAAAGACGCTAGAAACCACCATAGAAAACCGCTACAGACAGCAAATAGAAAACACCTGACTACAAGCACCCATACTTACTGGAACACACTCACCCTAAACAAATCACAAGATCACCAAGTACTGAATAACTTGCTGTGGGCTGTTCGCTCATTTATAGGGCATCCGGCCACGCCCCTACGACATAGACCCCTCCCTGCTATCAGCTGACCTTGAGGCAGCCGCGGTGACATCATCTGCATTGCTCTACACATGGAAGGGCAGCTGGCTATAACAGGGTATAGCAAGGTTGTAGGGGAGGTGACATGTCTAGGACTTGTGTAAACTGAAAGTGCTCATGGTGACATCCAGCGATCTGCAGTGGCTTACATGCCTGGCATTAGGACAGTGGTAACTAAGGCTAGGTTCAGATGTGGGCAATCCTGCAACTCGCGATCGCGCACAGTTGCACACAGCGATTGCCGCGCAGCCCGATTGATTTCAATGGGGTTACATCCGCGCGGCAATCATTTAAAAAAGGTACAACTACTTTGTTTGTGACACAAGACGCGCAGCTTTTTTTAGCCGCAATCGTGTTCAATTGCATGGGCGGTATTGCGGTGGGAAACCGCATGATCTTTCCAGCGCAACTGGAGTGCCATTAGCAAATAATGGCACTGCCAGGGCGATCGGCAGCGGTGGGCGATTCAGTTACTGCGCGGTTTTGTGCACGATTGCCGCACGGTCATGGATGGCCCAGGTGTGAACCTAGCCTTATATGAAGCCAAGGTGCACATTTCTGACCCTGTTTTATGTTACTCCCATATTTAGGGGCGGTTCACACCACAAAGTCTGCGTTCCAGAGCGTTTGGCCTCTGGAACACATGCCGGCCAGCTCCCTGCATTCAGGGGTAGGGGCGTGGTGGTGCATTGAAGTCAATGGCACCGCAGCCATGCACCCTGCCTGCAGTGCGATCGCCCGCAGACAGTCCAGTGCAATCTGCAAAAATGCTGCAAACACTATCGCGCAGTGTTAATTTAGTTGACGAAAATTTTTCGGTTTTTTTTTTGCCCGTTTTTCAGTAACAGAAACAAAAACAAAATGAAAGAGTAGTTAATGTGATGAAAATGATTTTCGTCCTGTACTCAATATTCGTCAACAAAATAAAATGAAAACGAAATCAATAATGAGAATCGTTGTCATTGATTATTATTCTCATCTGTTCCTCCTCCTTTCCTCCTCCTCTGGCCGCCGTTCCTCCTCCTCTGGCCGCCCTGTTCCTCCTCCTCTGGCCGTCCGTTCCTCCTCCTCTGGTCGCCCTATTCCTCCTCCTCTGACCGCCCTATTCCGCCTCCTCTGACCGCCCTATTCCTCCTCCTCTGACCGCCCTATTCCTCCTCATCTGGCCGCCGTTCCTCCACCTCTGGCTGCCCTGTTCCTCCTCCTCTGGCCGCCCATTATCTTCTGTGCTGCCCCGTTCCTTCTCCTCTTCTGCCGGTATTCTATCACCAGTCTCCAATCAGCGGTTTGAAACAATAGCCAGCCTGCTATTGGATATTTTAAAATGCAATAGCCAATAGCAGGCTGGCTATTGCACCCGCCCACTTCCTGCTGTCAATCAGCAGGGGAGGACCTGATAGAGAACTGTCTCCTTCAGTTCCCTTCTCTGCTGATTGACAGCAGGAAGTGGGCCTTATGATATGCTGATTTGAATCTCATTGAAATGTTGTGGTGGGATTTGAAAGGGACATTTCATGTAAGGAAACCAACCAACATTGTGTAACTGAAGGAAATATGTGTGGTCACAAATTCACAAAGTCGATATCAAAAACTAATGGCCAGCTGTGTAAAATGCTTAGAATAGGTCATTTCTGCTAAATGGGGCAATAACAGTTTCTGAGGCCAAGGATGTACTTAGTTTTTCCACAGTACACCATTGCACCTACTGTTATTTTTGTTAAAAAAAATGATGGAATGTTCTATTCAAGTATATCACCTTTATCTTTAGGCACTCTTTGAATAAAGATCTAAGGTTTGCCTGTACAAGTATGTTAAATAAAAAGTCAACAACTTCCATGGGGTGTACTTACTTTATCACTTGCCTGAGGAGAACTGGTTTTACTGATTTGGTGTGGTAAAGGTGAGCTCATGGTACTGATCTATTAGAGGATGGTGCTGAGGGTACAGTTATTTTCTTTGAAGGGGGAGTTGATTCTGTACTCCTAGGTGGCATAGAGATATATGGGAACAGTGGCTTAGTAGTTGGCCCTCCTGCCTTACAGTACTGGGGGTCAGGACACTATCTGTAAGGAGTTTGCATGTTCTGTGCTTGTGTGGGTTTCCTCTGGATACTCCGGTTTTCTCCCACACTCCAAACACATGCTGGAAGGTTAATTGGCTTCTGTCTTAGTTAGCACTGTAAGCATGCGAGATTGTAAGCTCCTTGATGGCAGGGACTGATGTGAATGTAAAGAGCTAAAATTGTTGGGGCTATAGAACTACCTATGATAATATGAAGCAGTCTATTGTGTTATGATATCAGTACCTTGACTTAAATGCTTTGATATCGATACTCATTAACGCTGAGCTATAAATATACAGGCTTGACATAACCACTTACCACACCTAAGCTATAGTTATACGGGTGTAACATCATAACTTCAGGATGAAAGCATTAGGACAAATGTAATCCCAGAATTTTGTATAGGTTGTTGTACCCATTACTTTACTATATTCTTCTGACTGATAGCTCGGCTCATGCAAGAGGAAGATCTAACATACAACAAATACATATTTCACTGGAAAAACAAAACAGGGTGTCTGTTTCCCCTACCAAGCCTAATTATGGTACGAGGGTCGCTGCTAAATGGCAGGTACACTGGACGGAAATTCGGAGATTCGGATGTATCCGAATTCCGAATTACAGCTAAAACGAATGCAAATGAATCCGAATTTATGATTTCCCGAAATTCGGTAGCGTTAGTCTGGACGAAATTTCGTTGCAGCAAAATGACATTAGAAAAAAATATATATATATTTTTTTTTTTACAGTCTGCAGAAGAAAAAAAAAAAAGAGAACCACTGCTTTAAAGGAACCATAAAAAGACATTGACACCTTGCTCATGTTGGGCAGTGTCTGTTTAAAAGGCACCCCCTGCCTCACCACTCCTGCCTCCATTACAGCCAGCAACAATACCCAGTGTTTCTGGGTATGTGACCTCCTCCCTGTGTCAGTCCTCGGGTTTAGCAGCAAATCACTATAGCCAAGTGCTGTCACATTGCTGAGTGATGTAAATACTCCACTTAGCATCCGACCCCAGCCAGCCAACACTAGGGATTTTAGTGGTAGCTGCGAAGTTGGCAGGAGCAACAGGAAAGCACCCTCAGGATAAATATTTGGGGTTCAGGGGCTTCCTTTTATACAGATACCATCATTTTCCCTGCATGGGTGAGGTAACAGTGTCTCTTTCAGGGGTTTCGTTTTTGGTGAATACGTATGGTTTTACAAACTACTCTGGTTGTGTTTGTGTAGTTTCTGGTGGATCAGGATATGGCTTTAATCAGTGAATGATCTTAAAGGATAACTTCAACTTTGATTAAATTGTCTTTAAATAAAGCCCCCTACCCCCTTGGGTGCAGGCAGCCTATACTTATAGTTCTCTTCAGCCCCAATCCATACATTTTACTACCAATATGCACCCAGCTGACTCTTCTTTATTATTTATGTATTACTGGTATTTATATATAGCGCCGACAATTTATGCAGGGCTGCATTGCACTCCCTGCCCTCAAGGAGCTTACAATCTAAGGTTCTATTTATTTCCATAGGTATCCATACTCTACGTCTTCAGTGGTCTCTCAGCAGAGTACAACTTCATAGGAATGAACGTGCCACGGTGTGCATGTGCAATCTGAAGAGGTGGCATACAGATCCATGTCAGTAAGATCCTGGATCAGGGCTGAAGGCAGGGGCGTATCTGCCGCAAGGCAAACAAGGTGTTTGCCTGGAGCGGCAGATTCGCTGAGGGCGGCGATGCTGCCTTGCCTAGGGAAGCTGAACTACATGTGGCTATAATAACCATGCTATTGATAGTAGCCTGGCCTTCACGTCATACAGGACCAGAAAAAAAAAATCCCATCATTGCCTATCATTATTAACTCCCTAGTCTGTCCCTCCTATATGATTTCAGCAGAAAATCAAATAGTATCCATAAGCTCCTGTATAGCTATCCTTAGGAATATCACCTATAAATGTACTCACGCTTTTGTATCCCTATTCTCAGACTGAAAAATGAAAAAACAGGCACATTGTAAATGGTACAATTTGGAAACAGGCATTTACTGACCCACTTATCACAAACCATAGTGTTGAGTGCCGTTATGACAGTGTGCATTGGCATAGAACTCTAGTCTACACAAAGAAAAATAATGCACTGAAATTGAAGAGTCTGACTTTTCAGGTTGAGAGTCAGGGCTAACACGTCACTTGAAATGTAATAGTTGCCTCTCTGGTAACTGCCTGACCTCACATACTATCTCTCTCCAAGTTCTTGAAGTACATAATGTAAAATAATAGAATCTCGTAGAAATATGGAAGCTGCTACTACTTTGTTTTTAAAAACGCTGGCATTATGGCCATCACCCTGATCCTTGCTTTACTATATAGTACGTCAGTGACCTAGAACAAGGGGTGGGACCCCAAATCAGTGGTGCATTAAGTAGTGAAGAAGGAGGTTGACAACCCCAGAGCTTATACCTTTAACATTCAAATTATGTCCCATGTTGCTATTTCACAGGTTCTCTATAAGAGCAAAATCAAAATCCCTAGGGCTCTGTTACTCCAGGAGCTAGAAGAATGCAAGAAATAAAAGGGAGGATTCAGCTAAAGATGATCTCTATAAAATGTTCATAATATCGAGAAAAGCTCAGAAGTTGCAATTTCTCCTTCTGAGAATGGAAGTTTCCTCTGTCTCCGGCAGGGATGGGCCAACATAGAGGCAGGAAAGACTCCCACCATGGGCAAAGGCGCACAGCTGAAACCTTTCCGATCTTTGAGGATCAGCTTTTAAACACAACTATAGCCAAACCTTTTTTTGGTTTAGCTCTCTTGCAGGTCACAGGAGTACATTTACTAATCAGCATATAGCGGGCTAAAGCCAGCACAGATCCCGAAAATGTTGTCGGGATCCACCCCACTGCATGATTGACAGCTGGCTCTGCATCTCCAGAACCAGATGTGCCCTCATCTCATCTGTGCCTCCAGCGAGTGCTGGCAGAGGGGGATCCCTGCAGGCAGCGGTGACTGACCGTCACCACTCTCTGCAGGTAGAAGCCGTGATCTGAGCGATAAGCGGTTTGTGATCACTCAGATCTTAAACTTTATTGCTGGCGCATGACAACTGCAGTGTCACATGCCGGCTCAAACTTTTGGTAAGAGTACATTTTACATTCCCAATAGTTCTCCTTTAATTCAGAAAGGGACAGTTACACTTTGTAATCTGGGCCTTGTGAGCCAGAGGACTTTGTTCCAGCACTGGTCTCTAGCTTTGGTACTTTGAGCCAATGAAGTCAGATCTTCACTCCCGATATGCATTTTTATTGCAGGTTAGTGACTCTAAAGCCTATGCTTCCCCAAACAATTTATATTTCAGAAAATTTTTCCTAGCCCTGTCAGAGGGATTCTATATTGAATGTTGCTGTATAACAAGTGCTGTATAGTTTTGGAAATGAGAGTCCCGCCACCCTAACATTCATGCTCAATTCTGCCTGTTTTCTTTGAGTATAATGTGGCCCAAAAATTAAGCATCAGAGACTGTTGATCCAGGGAATATCCGATTGCCTTATGGGATCAGGAAGGAATTTTTTTTCCCCCTGTTGGAGCAAATTGAACCATGCTTTAAAGGGGTTTGCCTTCCTCTGGATCAACAGTGGGTAATTGTGGGCATAGTGTTCTGTGGGAGTGTGTCATGGTCTGGGGCTGCATGAGTGCTGCTGGCACTGGGGAGCTACAGTTCGAGAGAACCATGAATGCCAACATGAACTGTGACATACTGAAGCAGAGCATGATCCCCTCCCTTCGGAGACTGGGTCACAGGGCAGTATTCCAACATAACGACCCCAAACAGCCCAAGATGACCACTGCCTTGCTAAAGAAGCTGAGGGTAAAAGGTGATGGACTGGCCAAACATGCCTCCAGAGCTAAACCCTATTGAGCATCTGTGGGGCATCCTCAAACAGAAGGTGGAGGAATGCAAGGTCTCTAACATCCACCAGCTCCGTGATGTCCTCATGGAGGAGTGGAAGAGGACTCCAGTGGCAACCTGTGAAGCTCTGGTGAACTCTATGGCCAAGAGTGTTAAAGTAGTGCTGGAAAATAATGGTGGCCACACAAGACATTTTGGGCCCAATTTGGACATTTTCACTTAGACATTAATGGCTTTGTGCGGTTTAGACAATGACTGTTAGGAGAACTATGAGGTAAGTGCGGTAAGTGCTTTTCACTCACCTCATAGTTCTAGCCGACCTGTGACAATGAGACTGCCACAGGTCGGCTCAGTAGATCAGGAGGTGAGCGAACACATACCGGGTTTGCTCACCTCTCGATCCTGTCACGGCCCTCTGCCGTGACAAGGGGAGGGGCTGGAGCCCCCTCTCTGCCAGCGCTGACTGGCGGAACGGACGGGGGAGGGGTACAGCTGGCTCTGCCTCTAGATAGGCAGAGCCAGCTGTCACTCATGCAGCTGGGCAGATCCCATCATCTAAGTCGGGATCCGCGCCAGCTGCAGCGTCTCAGTATACCGCGAGCTGTAGCTCGCGGTATACTGAGCTTAGGGTAACGGGAGGACGCTAGTTTGTGTCCTCCCGTTACCCTAAGGAGAACTATGGGGAAAAAACACTGACCCCATAGTTCTCCTTTAAGTTTTTTTGAGGGAGAGTAAATGTACACTGATATACAAGCTGTACACACTACTTTACAATGTAGCAAAGTGTAATTTCTTCATCACATGAAATAATGTTTACAGAAATGTGAGCGGTGTACTCACTTCTGTGAGATCATACATACCACAGTATTTAAAAAAAAAAAAATCTTGACCACTCATTTTATTGTAGCAGGGTGTAACAGAAGCAAGCTGCAACTTTGCATTTGTTGCCTTGGGCAAGTCTCATTTTGTTTTCAATGTTTCTCTGGGTGTACATCCAGCAGGAAAGATCGGGGGGGGAGAGAAGAGACACTGCCATCCAATACTTGGAAGCGTTTAATGCCAAAAGATAGCAGGTACAGCTCAGTAAGAAGAGGGAAGTTTAGTCACCAGCACACCTAAGGCAAGTATTCTTGTTTTACAGTATTTTAAGCAGCATCACTTTAAGCAGACTAACAGGTCTGGTGTTCCATGTTTTGGCTCGCATTCTAACTGACCAAGAATAGCAATAAAAACCCTACACCAGTAGTGAGAAAATGGGGATGGCTCCTCCACACCATTACTTGCCAAACCAAGGCGGTTAAAACTGGGTGTCAAGAAACTAGCAACTGAATGCATTTTAGTAGGTGTTCACCCAACAATGCAGTGCTCTGCCAGATAGTACCAGTGTGCGCAAGTGCAAAAGGAGAAAGAAAAAACACTTAGTAAGCACTTGGCACAAAAATGTACAACCCTTTAGAATACTGTAAACAGTCTAAACATGATTCATTTACCTTCACATAAGAAATGCATGCAGCACTATAGCAGCCAAGTGAGACTTTTTTTACAGTGCCAATGTTAACATGGACATGAGTTGCACAAAATACCAAAACATCTTTGCCCTTAGTCGCATAGACGTCAGCTAGTAGGAGGTGTACAGCATGCCTTTGCAATGCTTTAGCAGCTTTGACTAAAATAGCTTCAAACTTTAGTATGGGAAAGTTAAACACTTTGAGTAATGACTGTCACTAAAGCAGTTAGCAGGCCTTCAAGGTTTTCGTACTAGATCTTTTGACAAGCTGGCAGCACCTGCATTAAGGGGAACTTTAACGGGAGCAACTTGAAGGCACTAGAAGAGAAAAAAAAAAAAAAGAAGGAGGGAGAGAGCTAGCTGTACATGATGCTTATGTGAAGGCCTTATTGGAGGTACAGCGAGGAAGGGGAGGTAGCAGTGTACTCAATTTGTACGTCAAAGTGTTTTAATTGCACCAGTTAACCAAGATCATGGATAAAAATAGAAAAAGTCCTAATGTTATCAAGTAGGCAGAGGGGACCTTGGACCTCCAAGCAGCACATGTATTATGAGTCAGTAATTTTGTAGTGAAGCCAGAGACACCAGGCAAGTAACTTTTCACAAGGTTAGCAATAGGGCCTTCTTAAAACACATATTACATTTATAGTAGGTTTGTATTGTAACTGACCAACTCTTGCCAGTTACACTTATCAAGTAATATTTGGGCCCTTGATTTTCTTGCATAGATTGAACCATTTGTTAAAATCAAAATCATTTAAAGTTAGGCAAGTAACAGGCTTGTTACAAAGTTCATGGTCCCCCTGCGAGCCATTTCCTCACAAATATGCAAGTAGCTGCTTTGTACCAATCCTATGTCAGGTTTTATGGCACATAAAAGTTTAGTGAAGTAATGCAACCTCAAGTGGTTTAGGAATTTTATCTTGACCCATTGAGACACACCTGTCTATGTTCAACATTTACATAGCAGATCCATTGCATCCTGGTATGCAGCATGACCTGCAGGTAGTTTTAAAGCATATTACTTATAGCATGGGCAAGAGGAAAGTCATCATTGACAACAGCAAGTAATGCAAAATATTTATTAAATGTACAAAAGGAACAGTGACAGTGAACGGATTGAAAATACAAATTCCACTAGGGCACAAAAACTGAAAAGGTAGCATGCATTGGCCCATGTTAAAGGCCAAACTTTGAAATGACATACATTCTTGCAGTGCTATATGGCCTCAGTTGGAACAAATGAATCCGACAATACTTTAGATCAGTTCAAAACTACTTTGTGAAAACTACTTTGTGAAATGGATTAAGTGCAAAGTGACTCCTGAGATTGAAGCAAATTCATTCCTCTTTACTGGTTGCGTCTGCCCCAGCATCACCTTCTTCCTCCCCACGTGGACCAGCCAATGAGTGAAAGGGACCTACCAGCCAGTTTAGAGGAGTGTTGTTAGCCAAAAAGTCCATCACATCATCCATGGAAGCCTTCATTTTTGTGAGCTTCTCTCTGCTGGTATGGATTAGGCTGTCTGATACTTCTTTATAAGAAGAGGCAGAGAGGAAGTTCTGGTATACATCTGCAGCCATGGTACTAACACTCTGGGCTTTGTTCTGGACATTTTGAGGAAGGCCTTGGACACTTGAAACCAAAGACAGACATGTAGTTTGCAGTTGATGAGTCAGATTGCGTGCGATGGTTAGAGTGCGGGATTCAATTTGCTATGAACAAAGCAAAAATATAAGTTAGCTCTTAATGCAATGAAACTCATGGCTCAGTACATCCCGAAGTGCTGGGATGGTACTCACCTCAGTACTTTCAGACTCTCCCATTAGTTTGCTGTCCTGTGCTCTTGGTCCATTCCACCCACTTATTGTACAGTGTCTCCTGTGCATCATGCATCTTCTGATTGGCATCATTCATGTTCTTTCTGGCATATTCAATCTTTAAATCAAGATACCCAACATGGTTAGCATTATAGATGCAGACAGAAGTCTATTGTAGTAGATTAATTATGCAGGGGGTGGTGGGGATGATAAAGGACCCAGTAATGTCAAAGCACTTTATCATAATTTCCAACCACCATTAGCTGCATAGCAAGTGTAGCTGGTCAAGTGATCTTTTACCACAATATGCATTAGAATAGTTTCCGTGCCTAGGAGGCAGGTAGACAAGCTGTCCCGTTACAAGACTACATACTTCCCTGGATGGAGTACCAAGACTCCAGTCTCCCAATTCAGCACCTAGAGCCAAGTGCCCAGTCACCAGGCCACAGTTGGGGGGAGTGGGGGATAATATATTTGGTTTGGAGCAAAAAAGTAATCTGTCCCTGTGAAAAAGTGAAGTGAACACAGTTTGAGCCGTCACTAGATCAGGACTAGGTCATTCTTAAGGTGATCCTCAAGTGACAAGCGTCCAAGAAGGGATTCCACTTAGATGCTCTTCTGGTTGCAGCTATGGGTCACTCATGTAGGGAGAAACCCCAAAACATTAACTACAGAATAAAACCGTTGTGACATTGTAAGCCCTAGAACTAACCCTTTAGAAGACATGCTACAATATATTAACAAAAGGGAACAGAGCGCCACCTCAGTGTGTAAAATAGTTTTACAATAAATAAAACAAGGGATAAAAGTACTCGCAAAGGTTTATCAGGCTTTAACAACAAATGAGAGGCCACACTGTGTTAACCCAACATGGTATATCCCCGACCATGTAACGCGGTAGTCTCCGGTCACATCACCGCCCGCCAAGATTGACATGTTTCAGGGGCAAGCCCTCTTCCTCTGAAACGTGTCAATCTTGGCTGACTGCGGTCGGTGGGCAGTGATGTGACCGGAGACTACCGTGTTACATGGTCGGGGATATACCATGTTGGGTTAACAGATAGTGTGGCCTCTCATTTGTTGTTAAAGCCTGATGAAAACGTTTGCGAGTACTTTTATCCCTTGTTTTATTTATTGTAATAAACTATTTTACACACGAGGTGGCGCTCTGTTCCCTTTTGTTTTCTATATTCGTGGTGGAAGCCCCAGAGCCTTGGATGAGCAGCCCCTCAAGTCTGTAGAAAAAAAAAATAAACTGTTGAAACTCTGAGTGTGCAACAGCAAGCGGATTGTTCAGCTGGCAGCCATTAGCGCCAAGAGCTAAAGAAAACTTTTTGTACAATATATTAATGCCTATGATGCTATAAATGTTTTAACACAAGCATGCTACAGATGTGTACTAACCAGGTCAACAGTGGTCTGAAGCTGAGTAATGGCCTCCTGACTTTTGCATTTTGCATCCCTGAATCTCGTCAAGGCTTGTTGGTAAGCACGTTTGCGGGCCTTAGTGGAGAGTGATCCCAAGCGAACATAGTAGCTTGCTTTCTCTGTTGATACCTCAAACCCTTCTGTTTTTGCAGCCTGTATTGCTAAAAAAATTTTTTTACAGGAATTGAGGTAAAACCATTTGGCATTTGTTTAAACAATTCTCTTCACAATAGGCAAGTAACTTCAGAACACTACCCCAACTCTGATTTATGGTGGCAAAGTGTCAGGTCACAGAGCAAAGAGGTTAACATTAGCTACCCCAACACAGTAGTTAAGCCTTTGTAATTAAGGCTAGTACTTACCTAGTTCTTCATCAGTTGGTGGCAGATATTGTTCCAGAAGAGTCTCAGACTTGGTAAGCGCAGTATCAACACCACTGCTCATCCTACGCACAGCTCCGCTCCCAAGAACAGTGTTAATGCTTCCATTTACAACAGCCTTGGTCATCTCCACACTGCCACACACAGCTCCCTTTGTCTTATCAACCACTCCGGTTATGCTCTGGATCACAGCATCTTTAGCATGGATCACAGCATCTTTAGCACCAACAACCACGTCAGAGGCATTAGCAACAATCTAAAAAGGAATAGAGTAAATTTCAGTCTTAAGAGTGTTAGCAAAACAGTATTTGGGATCATTTTACAGTTTTGGCAAACCGATCATATGACCCCTCAGAAAGCAGATAAACCACCACATAGATTGCCAGGCAGACAACAGTACAAACTTGCATTTTAGTTTGGCTTCAAATTGTAGAGCTGCATGAAACCCATTTCAAGTTTGACATCTTCCAGTGTAACCATAAGAACGGTTTTGAATGAAGACAACTATGGGCAAAAAGTCTGGCCCATAGTTCTTATGGGTCACAGGAAGACATTTACCAATGTCCTCATGAGAGAAAACCCAGCATATAGCAGGCTACTGCTGCAGAGGTGCAGCTAGGAAAGATCCCGACAAAAATCATTAGGATCCACCACGCTACTGCGTGCCTCTAGAGGTAGAGCCAGCTGTGCCCACCCCTTCCCTGTCTATCCTTCCAGTCAGTTCTGGAGGATCAGAGGAATCCCTGCAGGGTGCAGTGACTGAGTCACTGCTGTCTCCACAGAGATCAAACTGTTGATCACTCAGTTATCGATCAATACAGCTGACATGTGACATCTGCAGTGTGACAAGTCAGCTCTAACTATGGGGATGAGTGCATTTCACTCCCCATAGTTCTCCTTTAATTTAAGTCACTGCTTGTTTGAATGTCCATAATCCAGTTCATGTTTTAAAAAGCATTTAAATTAAACGTGTAAGGGTTAGCATCCCAGTAAGGTTTTTATTGCCATCGGTTGGGGAGATTAACCCCAACCATTTTCTAGGCGATTGCTGTCACAATGTACAAAACCTGGAGTTGGCAATAGAATAGGTGAATTCTACCAATGGGGGCACTTTAAGGATTTTACTCACTCTTGGAAAGATGTGCTTGTAATTTGTGCATCTACAAGACTGAAACTGGGGCGGACTAACCATACAGGCCGCCGACAGAGGCCGTATCTCGGAAGAAAGTTGCTGGTAGACTGCTCAGGTAAGCCTGCACTTTCCTCCACATGGCACAATTCACTATAATAATGTATTGCTATACAGAGCAATATAGCACCAGCTATAGACGACTACAAAACCCAGCAATAGTACATTATACAGCGCAATACAGAATACCACCAGTTATAATGTATTATTGCTGGGATTTGTTGTATTCCTCTATAGCTGGTGATATTGTGTATTGTACTATTGGTTGGATTTGTAGTCCTCTATAGCTGGTGCCATTCTGCATTGATGCTGTATAAATGTTACACTTTCTATTAAACGCCACAATTTTACTTCCACCGCTCCAAGCTTGTGCCCGTGATTGACTACAATCTAGTAGTCACTGGAGCCTTTATCATCAGATTAATCCAACTTAATAATCGGCTAACCGATTCTGAAAATAATCATTGGCTACAGCCCTAGTGAGCATTCACCTGTGTGCTGGCATGGAAGGAGCTGCCCATTAATACATGTGTGGGTGACGTCCCACAGGGATCAGACTGATGGCTAATCCCAGAGAAGTTGTGTATTTGTCATTCTAACTGCCCAGTCTGCCGTACATTGGGTCGGGTCTGAGATCTGCCATACATTGGTTCTGGTCTGAGGTTTGCCATGCAATCTATCATTTAGAGTACTTGAAACACAGCGCTAGAGATAAAGTCAACAAAATATGTGTAAATATTCACAGATTGGGTTAAGTGATCAGTGGATATCAATGTATAAATTATGTGTATTCGAAACACATAATCGAAACATGTTAATCTGCTCTCTCATCCCACCAGCTTGTTTCTTATTAGCACTGCAGCCCAACTGACTGGCTCCTAGTGCTTCTCCTCCCTTGTAGCCTGTCCAGGTCGGGAGAGGAGAAAGAAAATACCATGGGATCCGTGAGTATGCAGCGGAACCACAGCAAGCTGCTCGACAAAAAACCACTATTGGTCTTTCTGCTTTTAAACCCTCATAACCCTGTTGATTCCGGAGAGAAAGTTCGTTAGTAATACGCCTAGGCTAAGCGGTCCCTGGGTCTGAAAGACAGCTCCAGCACTACAGCCGGAAAACATCTCTCCTACTGCCCGATTCTAACGCGGGAAGAACATACTCGAAGGCAGGACGGGACCGGATACCATATCGTCAAGACCCTGATATTTGCGCATATCCACCGTAACCCGGTGAGTACCCATTACTAAGGGGGCTGTCGGACTAAGGAGATAGGAACTAACAATCATCCGTCTTCAAAACCCCCCCTGTCCTGTTCTTACATTGCCTATTTTTTGAGATCTACTCTTCATATCGCCCATTGAACATTGCTGCCTCTGGCATCGCCTTCACTTATTTAAAGAAACAATTCAAGATTAATATAGATCACTGAATGCTATTTTTTTTTTTGTTTCAGCTTTTTTGAAAAAACTGTCACAGATTATTCACTGTAATCTTTTTGAGACGTTTTTTCTGATACTGTGTTATATATTTCCAATGAAGTTGTAATGCCGTATTATATTCACTAATCGAAGCTGATTTTATCCATCTACTATCATCTATTATTACTTAATCTTAATCGAAGCTGATTTTATCTATTTATTATTATTCAATTTTACTATTTATTCTTTGTCATCTAAGTTCATCACGATTATTCACTTACGTTTGAATGTCATTTATATCTATTAGCCATAGGCTACACTTTATGTTGTTCACATAGTGATACAAACCATCTTTTTCGTTTACTTTTTATGACTGTTTCGAATACACATAATTTATACATTGATATCCACTGATCACTTAACCCAATCTGTGAATATTTACACATATTTTGTTGACTTTATCTCTAGCGCTGTGTTTCAAGTACTCTATCTATCTAAAGGCGGTTCACCTCCTTTATTTTCATAGCTGCTTTTTGATACAAGTACAATTTAGCCATATCCAGGAGCGCAGATTTATTTTTCCTATATAAATCTATCATTTAGCTCACTTTACAAATTGCCCATATTGGTCTAGATTTTTCAATTCTCCTACGAGTTGCCCGCCAAATTTACCTGTTAGTGAATTGGCCCATTATTTTAAAAATAATGTGGAGAAATAATTTCTGTATCACAAGAAGGTTTATGCAGGTGGGGCTTGTATATGGGCCCGATAATCTACTGGCCCTGGACAGGAGGTTAAGGGAAATCTCCAGTATGGAACACAGACAGCAGAATACCAAACGTTTAAGGTAAATCTACATTTTTGTTCTAGATTAAAGTATAATTAAAGCCTGTTTTTTTTTGCATAGATCTACTGTCTTCCCCACATGCTCCCATCCAAAAATGTGAAAATTCTCGGGTGGCCACAAAGCATCTTGGGTCGGGCGCAGTCCACATTTTCAGCTGGGAGACGAGGAGAGACACAAGGTAAGGCTATGGACACGTGCACCCGCATGCAGACACCGTGAGACAGAAAGTGCCAGCAAGGACAGAGGAATCAGCGCTGGATCGGAGACCCGCAGCAGGACAGGAAAGAAGATCGGATTAAGAGAATCATTTAAGGTAAGTGCTTTAAGTAACATTGGGGAGTTTAGTGTTATCAGTGATTGATGGCCCTAAAATGATTGCTCTCACTGCGACATGTAACATGTGTAGCGCAATTGTAATTTTTGCGCGCTGGGGCACCGGACGCGCATTTACAGCTGCGTAAACGTGGGGGGAGTTAAACATTTTAGGGTTTTTTTCCCCCCTTTTTTATTATTTGTTACTTTTATTTTTATTTATTTTTTTGCACTTATTGTTATTGCTATTATATAGGGGGATAACAATCCCCCTATATAATAGCAAAGGCACACTGACAGGTCCTCTTTATGGAGACATTAGGGGTCACCTGTGGACCCCAAAAGAAGCAGAGATCTGCTTCATCAGCTTCTTCTCTCTGGCTATAGCAGCCAGATGACTGACAGGTGAATGCCGAAGTGATGTAATACACATCACTTCTGCATTCACAGCACAGATTGACATCAGCAAGGAGCTGATCTGACGCCCTCCGAGCCAATCCCGGGCCGCAGACGGGGCAGCCGCTGCGAACGAGCACATAGACGATCGGCGGGCTATGGAGCCGCTGATCGTCTATATGTGAAACACCCGGTAACGGGTGTGTGCAATGGTCAGGTCTTTTCTGCCCGTGCGTGCCCGCTAGGGGGCGCACGCGAGCAGAAAAAAAAATGCCGTCAACCCGCCAATGCTGCAGTGCCGTCCGTCCATTTTTTTACTACGGGCGGATGGCAAGTGGTTAAGCAAAAATTGTTAAATCTTCACCCCCTAACCTGAAACACCATGGGGAGGGAAAATAATTACCTTGTCACTAGGCTGATACAAAATAGGCAGTCTCTCTTCAATCTTATCAAGTCCAAGGCAAGCAAGGTTGTTCACTATGGCAACTACAAGATGGAAAGGGGAAAAGATTTAGTCTGATGCAACAGTACACTGCTCTGCAGTAAAGTTCAGGGTGACTACTGAACAACACTGTCTAGCTACATGACATTTCACCTACTTCCTATACAAGCCGCTAGGAAACCAAGCCGTCTGGCTCTGCAGGGTTTACAGCTACAGAAAATACTCATTTCTGGCAGTTAGATTTTTAGGAGACTGACTGGATTGGCTTCAAGTTGCATGCTTAAAACATTTGACCATGAACATTTTGTCAGATCTTGGTGATTGATCTAGCCTCAGACGTGTCACTAGCACTAATCTACAGAAACAAAAAGGTACAGCAAAAATTGTTTACTGGAATAGTAAGAAAACACACTTAGAAATATCAGTTTCCATTGCTAGGGAATTCCTAAAACTATTATAAGGCAAGCCTTTAGATCAACAGTTTTTTTTTTTTATCTACTTGTTTGCTGCCTGACAAAGTTCTGAAGCCACTGGATCAATACGACATTGAAAGGAATCTTTAGAAGTCATGTCAGAAGCCTCCACACTGTAGCAGTGCTCAAATGAAACTATACACCTATACTAACTACACAACCAGTTACATTTTAGAAAAAGAAACATACTTTGAGGTTCCAGTTTGTGGATTATTGGCATGGCCCCAGTCACAGCCACTGTAGTGATAGTCTTCACACTCTGCTCTGCCACACCACACACCGATTTCAGGTAGGGATGGGAATCCTTAGTGTTAACATACACAGATTGCACTATATCATATGTTGAGCTCACCAAGGGGAGGTTAATGAGCCTAACCACCACATTCTGAGGGGGGAACAAAAACACTAAGAGTTAGACATCAGCATTATTTTATACATTTGAGGCATACATACAACTGGTCATTCTACCCCCAAAGACTGAACTGCATGTCTGTAAAACGCTATGTGATTACACTTAGAAATGGAGCAGACCCTCACTTTCAGAGGCAACATGTAAATAACACCTTCAGGAAGTCTGAAAAGACCAAAAGTAGTTCAGCAGTTAAACTAAAAGGTAAACTTTTGGTGCTTTACTGCAGTAGACAAGTTCCCACCTACCAAACCATGTTCATTCATATTTAAGATACAAGACGATTTCTGGCCCACATCCCCTCCCTATACCAAAGGGCAATTTCATTTCCCCAGGTGGATTAAGGAAAGTGAAATTTCCCTTTAACTGAGTCATGGGGTTCTCACTGCAGTTTTCCACATTTAATTGAATTCAGTAGGGAATAAACACTTTTCCAGATTGCATTGCAATTTGAATTCCCTTTTGGCTCAAGTTGGTTTCAGATTATGGATCAATTTAACAGGTTCTCTGTTCCTCTAGATTTATATAAGGGCTCTGCACCCAGGAATGTGGAATGGGATACACTGGAGGTATATTTAAGAAGGATTTTTGTTTTAAAAGAATACATAAATTCAGCAGAAAAAAGTTTGACACAGTTTAGGCTAGAAAAATATGAAGCAGGAGTTTATTACGGATCCTCTACCCCAAATTCTGAAAAAATAAGAAGCATGACGCATAGAAACATTTAGATACAAGCCCTTCATACAAAACAAATGCAATAGGAACAGAGTACTAGGTATTTAGCACAAATAACCCGTACACACTGGGGAGGGGAAATTATAACAGATCCAGAGAAGATAACAACTTCTCTCCAATTGTTTCAGTCACTATAGTCTACAGGACGTTATTCAGTTAAATGGTTTACATAGGTTTTTAAGGGAGGGAAAAAATAAAAATAAGTGTCCTTGCCATCTTTACCCTCCATAGAAAATGAAAAAATTCAGGTGATCAAGTGGATTTTTAAGTCCTAAGTTTAGTGTCACTAAGGTGACAAAGACCCACACATGCATCCCTTATCTTCAAATTACCATCTATTGATAACAGAAGCTGCCCATCATGGTAGTTATAATCCAGACATCTAGAAAAGGTAAGTGGTTTTTTTTTTTTTTTGGAAACAAAGTGGCAGTTCCTCAAATAGGACTGCAAAGGTTGGAAATACACATTAAGCCTTTAGATAAGAGCGTTCCACTGCAGCTTGAGCGTTCCACTGCAGCTTTTAGAAGTACAAGGACTTGGAGTGTAAACCTATAGAGAACTAGCCCCAGCTGATAATCATGCCACCCTGAAATACTAGTAGCAGACAGACCGGAAAATCCAACTTTCTTCACAAAAAGAGCCATTGACAAGTAAAGAGGATAAAAAGGTGATAGAAAGATAAGGATTAGGCTATGACACAGCTCATTGTAGAAGCACGCAGTCTAGTCCCAGTTACCTGCTGTTGTTGTTGCTGCTCCGCTAGCTCAGCCATAGTGTTCAACCTACAGGATAGAAACAGTACATTAGTGATGAAGAAGGCTTCAGCCATCATCCACAAAGCCACCAGAAACCACTACAGAGAGCAAATAGAAAACACGTGACTACAAGCACCCATACTTACCAGCACACGCTCACCCTAAACAAATCACAAGTTCACAGAGGACTGCATAACTTGCTGTGGGCTGTTCGCTCATTTATAGGGCATCCGCTCACGCCCCTACAAAATAGACCCCTCCCTGCTATCAGCTAACCGTGAGACAGCTGCGGTGACATTATCTGCATTGCTCTACACATGGAAGGGCGGCTGGCTATAGCAGGCAAGGGTCAAGGTTGTAGGGGAGGTGACATGTCTAGGACTTGTGTAAACTGAAAGTGCTCAGGGTGACATCCAGCGATCTGCAGTGACTTCCATCCCTGGCATTAGGACAGTGGTAACTAAGGCTAGGTTCAGATGTGGGCAATCCCAGGGCTCGCAATCGCGCACTATTGATTTCAATGGGGTTACATCCGCGTGGAAATCGCTAAAAAAAAGGTACAAGTACTTTTGTTTGCGACACAGGACACGCAGCTTTTTCAGCCGTGATCGTGTTCAATTGCATGGGCTGTATTGCAGCGGGAAACCACATGATCTTTGTGGCGCGACTGGAGTGCCATTAGAAAATAATGGCACCACCAGGGTGATCGGCAGTGGTGGGCGATTCCGTGACCGCGCGGTTTTGTGCATGATTGCAGCACGGTCACGGATGGCCCAGGTGTGAACCTAGCCTTATATGGAGCCATGGTGTGATTTGCTGGAGACATTGTGCTGATTTCAGTAGCTTCTTCTTTTTAAAGGACCAAGTGCAACTGAAGGCCAAACTATTTTTCCTTTTAGATCCCCAGTCAGGTTTTTATTACTGTCTGTGTCCCCGTTAGGAGGAATCGCTCTCTCTATTTGTCCTGCTGACGGTTAACACTTAAAGTGAAAGAAAATTAAAATTTTTGGGTTGTCATCAGAACAGGAACAGATAGGAAATCTTCCAAAGGGGACACCCGTTCTGGTATCCCTGCTGACCACCAGGGATTGTTCTCTGTTTAGAGGAATTTCCTGTCACTTCTTGTTGTGGCTATTGTACAGAAAGAAAAGGCCTTTGGCATTGAAAGGGTCCTTAAGTGGTTAAAGGCAAGGTGCATCTTTCTGACCCGGTACTTCGATTTCGTACATCCTTGCCCATCTCTGCCAGTAGGTTCCACTCACGGCTCAGCCGTATCCCATGACAGCGTGTGCAATAGCCAGCCTGCTATTGGCTATTGCAATTTAAAATAACCAATAACAGGCTGGCTATTGCTCCAAGCCACTGCTTGCTGTTTTGACATTCAGCTGCCTCAGCAGCTGAATCCAGTGAAGTGGAAAGGCGACACTAGGGGTCGCCTTTCCACTAAAAATAAAAGTTAAATAAAATGAAAAATGACTCCAGGGATATATAATAAAAAGAGTTTGGAAGTGCTAGAGAATTGCTTAAATAATCATTACAGGAAAAATAAACCTATTAGATTTTAGTCGACTAAAGTCGACTTTAATTTTTGTCAACTAAAATCAACTTGAATTTCGTTGCCTAAAACTGACTAAAACAAAAATTAATCTGATGACTAAAATGCAACTAAAAATAAAAATTCATTTTCGTCAAAAGACTAACATGAAAATTCAATTGCATGGGCGGTATCGCGGCGGGAAACCGCATGATCTGCCTGGCGCGACTGGAGTGCCATTAGAAAATAATGGCACTGCCAGCGCGATTTGGCAGTGGTGGCCGATTCCGTGACCGCACGGTTTTGTGCACGATTGCAGCGCAGTCATGGATCTCCCAGGTGTGAGCCTAATATGGAGCCATGGTGTGATTTGCTGGAGACTTTGTGCTGGTGTTCAGTACTTATCTTCCGATCACCTGATATATGATAGTCTTCTCAGGCTATAGTCACGTTTGTATTTGTTTTACATGTTTAGTGCTGTAGTAAACATACAATAATCACATGTGTACAGGATGCTTGCATGACATATAGTGCACTCATTCCTTTCTTCAATCAAACTGAAAGGATAAAGTGTAACTGCAGGCCAAAGTTTTTTTGTTTTTTTTTCAGAACCCCGGTCAGGTTTTTATTACTGTCTGTGTCCCCGCTAGGAAGAATCACCCCATCTATGTATCCGGCTAACCGTTTACACTTAAAGGGAAAGGAGATTCCAATGTTTTTGTTGTCATCTAAACAGGAACAGATAGAAAATCTTCCAATGGGGACACAGATTCTGGTAACCCTGCTGACCACCAGGGATTTTCCTTTCTTTAGAAGGAATTTCCTGTCACTTCCTGTTGTGGCTATGGAAAACTGAAGGGAAATCTACCCAATTGGACAAAGACTGCAGGAAAAAAAGCTGACAGGTAATGTACCTCCCTTACTCTATCCAAAAATGTTTTGGCTTCAGTTCTACTTTAAAGGTTAGGTTCACCTTTCTGACCGTGTTTCATATTACTGCCATATTTAGGGTGTAACATGAAACATGGTCAGATTGCAGACCCCCCTCCCACCTATCTGAATTGCTGAATTTTTCTCCATCTCCAATCACACATCCTTTAACAGTGAACAGGGCAAGTAGAAAGCAATGGTTTTATATGTGGCCTAGTCGTGATCTGCGTTGATCCAGTGTGGACAGGTATGAACAGGTCCTTAGTGTTAAGGTGCCAATACACCTTACAATTATCTGCAGATTTTCTGTGGTCAGATGGAAAAAGTGCAACAGATTGGACCAGGTGGAGATTACTCCATCCACACAGTTTAGCGTAGATGGAGGAATCTGTTGCACCTTTTCCATCTGACCATTGAAAATCTGCAGATAATTGTAAGGTGTATGGCCGTCTTTAAGCTGAGTATACAGAGTACGAATTTCAGCTGGTTCACACTTCTGCCCTGCATCCCTCCATCAGCTGATTGAAGGAGCTGGTTGGGAAAATCTCCATTCGGGTATTCTGACAACCGCAATGCAATGCACACAGCAGGGGATTCCTCCATTTATGCTCATAAGTGTTGATGGTGACATCTGTTATATTTTCTTTGTTCAGCTCCTGGGTTGAACGAAGAAAATATAAGCGTGTATACCCGACTTTAGATAGGATTACATCTCAACTCATATTGTATCGCAGCAGCATGTCAAAGCTGAGCGTATCCAAGATCCAAAATAATAAATGCACAGTTCACCAGTAAGGCATTACAACCACAAACAGGGGATCTAGCTCAGTGGTGCCATGCTCGTTTACAGCCGCCCGAATCACTACCAGTGTAAAGCCAACAGTCGGCTTTAAACATGTAAATTGACTCCCGGATGCTATAGTCAGGAGTCTACTTATGGGGTCCTGCTGTTGCTGATGCATGGCATACATCAGCAAACGGGTTAAACCACAGACATGAGTGGTGTCACCATGCCAATATCAAAAGCTTTCTAAGGCCCACAGAAATAAGGATGTGTATACCTATCATTATGGCAAGAATTAAAATAGTTTACCAAACTATTTGAAATTAGTTATTCCACTTTAAGTAAAATAATCTGCAAGTGGGATAGAAATCACAGCTAATTTGACCTGGACTGGCTGACTCAGTAATTTCAGCCCAGAGCTGTTTGATGCTTGTTAACACCATGTCCGGACCAGAACAGTTTGTTCCCGGACCAAAAAAGCATCCCAATGTATCCCTATGGAATTTCTAGGCTCTGTTCACACCAGCGCACTCTGTTCCGGACCAGACACAAACAAAATACTGCTTGTCTCATTTTCTCTGGTCTGGAATGCATGGAAATGCATAGAAGATGCATGCAAACGCACTGGAATCCACTGGGTTGCAGCTGAAAGGCCATTTTAAGTAGGAAAGAAAGAGCTCCGGAAAGTGGCAAAATCGCATTAAAAACACAATGCACCGTGCTCCAGATCAGATCTGGTCCGGAAAATGGTGTGAACCTGGTCTAAAAGAAGTACCCACGAACCCCAGAATTTCATTGTGGGATCTGCAGGTAACTCTTATAATAGTACATGCATCTACAATCAGGAAGCAATTGTACCAATGTAATTCAGAAAGTGACAGTTACACTTTGTAATCTGGGCCTTGTGAGCCAGAGGACTTTGTTCCAGCACTGGTCTCTAGCTTTGGTACTTTGAGCCAATGAAGTCAGATCTTCACTCCTGATACGAGTCAGTGACTCAGAAAGCACTTGTAATTCTTGCATAACGCAAATTGTATTTAATTTCCTTTCAATAAAATGAGGGCCTTAGGCTATTCTCTAAAGCCTATTCTTCCCCTAACAATTTATATTTCAGAAAATGCTTTCTAGCCCTGTCAGAGGGATTCTATATTGTGTGTTGCTGTATTAAAAAAAAAAAAAATAAAAAAAAAAATGCTGTATTGGTTTTGAAATGAAAAAGTCCCATTTATGCTCAATTCTCCGTTTCCTTTGACAACGTGACCCAAAAATTAATCACCAGAGTTTGTTGATCCAGGGAATATCCAATTGCCTTATGGGATCAGGAAGGATTTTTTTCCCCTTTTGGAGCAAATTGAACCCAGAATAGGGTTTTTTTTTCCCTTCCTCTGGAAGAACAGTGGGTAATTGGGGGCATAGCGTTCTGTTTAGGCTTTTTTCTCCCCCCCCCCCATATCTTTATAGGGTGAACATTGTTTTGCAGGTTGAAAAAAAAAAAAAGAGAACAGAGAGCGCCTTGTCCTCGTGTAATACTGTTTATTAATCAATGGACATACAAGCTGACATAAAATACTACTCACATGGTAATCACTGAATGAATGGTACTAGGCAGACCCCACACAAAGCTGCCTTGCTAGCCGATGCGTTTCGGGGAATATACCCCCTTCCTTAGCTCTGAGGAAGGAAGTCCATTCCCTGAAACGCGTTAGTTAGCAAGACAGCTTTGTGTGGGGTCTGCTTTGTACCATTCAGTGATTACCATGCGAGTAGTATTTTATGTCAGATTGTATGTTCATTGATTAATAAACGGTATTACACAAGGACAAGGCGCTGTTTTGCAAGCAATACTTCTCAGTTGCCTTTTGATGGCAGCCTGCAAACGATTTTTGGAGAATATAATTGGGAGTCAACCGAACTCTGTTGTGCATTTCTCTTTTTTCAACCTGACTAACTGAATTCGTAAAAGGCTTCTCGAAGGTCATCCAAATTCCCATTAATAGCTGCAGGTTATGTCAATGTATTTTCAATATTATTTCAAATTTAACGTTTTGCCATTTGTTCCCACTGAAAAGCTAGACATTAGCCAGGGTCTCACAAAAATGAGGCAGCAAACATTATTTTATTCAACATGTAACAATTGCACAAACAGTATAGAAAGTAGAAGACAGAATTTATATATTAGAACAGATACTTTGTGGAATATTCAGGGGGTTATGGATGGCTGATGTGACTGTAAAATATACTAGAATGTATAGCCTCATTTTGCTGCCTGAAAAGGGACTTGGGTTGTAGAGTAGTCTATTTTAATAGTGGCACGCTATTAAAAGTGCACCAAGCCCTATTCATAGACTAATATGCTAACAGTCTCAAAACAGACATCTAGCAGCAACGCAGTCTTCCTCTGTTTGGAGTAAAGCTGGTTACACGTAACAATACTAAGTATTTTTTAAACCTAATGATTTATATGGGAAGCTGAAGTCAAACACATCTGTAATATTTCTGTGGGAAGGAGTGTATGTACAGTTTAGGAACCCAGTTACATATGTGATGAATCTCTGTTTATTACACGTCCATTTATACGGGAGAAATCTTGCATTTCCTCTTCCATTGCCATCATCTCTGGGTCACCTTCAGTATCTGATGACAGGTCAGAAATGCTGAAGTCAGGCACCTGGTAAAAGTTAAATAAAAATGTTCAATGTATTGGTCTAATATAATGTTAAATCACATTAATAGTACAGCCACACACTTCTAAACTATTTTCACATTCATGAATTTCACTGTATCCATTTACCAGTTTATAATGGCGCCTGATGTGTATGCATTTCCTGTCTTGATACTTACAGCCTAAACATACCTATAGACAGTTTGCTGAATTTGTATCAAATAAGCCCTATTAAAACCCTGATATTTACCTAACCGCTAAAGTTAGATTTTTATTGTAACGAATCTCATCTAAAACAAAGCGGACCACACTGTACAATTGATGCCACCACTAAATTGTAAGCCTTTAAGGGGCAAACTGATGTACATTCTCAGGCCCCCACTAAGCTACATTAAGTTAGGCCTCTGCACCACATTGTTAATAAAGCTATTACTGTACACTCAAAGTTAAGCTCGCTAGCAATGTTTTAATTAAAAGTCCCAAGACCAGCAGTATTAACAAAGACTTTATGAGTAGTGGAGAGATATAAAATAACATGGGTTAATCTTGACCATTTTGTTTTTTGTAGCAGGGCATAACAGAAGCAAGCAGCAACTTAGCATTTGTTGCCTTGGGCAAGTCTCATTTTTTCAATGTTTCTCTGGGTGTAAAACCAGCAGGAAAGATCCTGAGTGGGGTCAAATTCTAAACATGGTATTACAATTTATACAGATCCAACTCCAGCAAGTCCCGTCATTAGCATGGGACACACGAGATAAGGGGGATTGCTCCTCCACACCAGAACACATTTACTTGCCAAACCAAGGCTGTTAAACTGGGTGTCATGAAGAAACTGGCAACTGAATGCATTTTAGTAGGCCTTCACTTAAAGCAGAGCTCTGCCAGAGTGCACAAGTGTAAAAATATTGTTTATGACGCACTTGCACACAAATTTACAACCCTTAGAATGTTGTAACCAGTCTAAACACATGTTTAGTGTGCCTTCACAACAAAAGAAATGCATGCAGCACTATAGCAGTCCAGTGAGACTTTTCTTCTAGTGCCAATGGCCATGATGAATTGCACAAACGTCTTAGTCGCATAGAAGTCAGCTAGAATGAGGCTGACCGCTATTAGTCAGCTAGCTTTGACTATTCGCTTCAACCTTAGTATGAGAAAAGTTTAACACTTTAATAAGTAATGACTGTCACTAAAGCAATTAGCAGGCCTTCAACAAGCTTGTAGTGCTTAAGCTTTTGGAAACCTGGCAGCTTGTTTGTTGAAGTGACAGCACCCAGAATGTAACTGGAGCAACATGCCTTCCTGATGCTTGCCAAAGTTTAACCCCTTCATGACAGCTAGTTTTCAGGTTCTGTTCATAAATGACTGACACATTTTTTACATTTTTGCTGTGTGATTCTTTCACAGCAGTAATATACTTTCTTACTAAATGTACCCACACATTATATATAGTTTTTTTAGAGGACAGATAGGGCTATATAATTATATCACATGTGTACCTAACCCCTCTTAGTTTGAATAAAATAAAAAAAGTGAGGAAAAAAAACTAGCACACTTTTTCACAAGTTTTGATTATTATTATTTTTGAATTTTTTTATATTATAGTATAAAAAATATATTTATATATAATTTATATTTTCCTTATTTTGTTTTACACTTTATTTTTTTTACACTTTGTCAAAAAAATATTTTTTTTTCTCTTGTCAGTTTATATCAAGCAATCACTATGACAGCTTGATGAATTAACTTTATTTTATTTTTGGCTATTAGGCTGATCCAAACTTAGGAACAGCTAATAACCTTAGAGACTGATCCTGACTAGTCAGATTCAGATCTCACTAAAAGCTCTTTGATCGTGCCTAGACGATCAGAACAGATACATTTCGGTCAAAAGATATACATTGTATCTTTTGAGTGAAATGTATCTAAACATCGGGCTCTCCAGCTGTCAAAACAAATAGAGGTGAGGTGAGTCACTGCTGCCTCTCTGCTATTTTGAGCTGTCAAATACGGGATCGCAAATTGCGGTCCTCTATTTGCATGTAACGGCTTCATTCTTTCATTAATGAAAGGAAGAAGCTTTTACAAAAAGCTTAATTAATTAATTAATGCCTCAATACTGAGACATTAATGAATGACTGTTAGATGCCGAGAATCAGCAAATACCGGCATTACAAAGCCTGATATAACTCGTCACATACAGTGTACGTGGCCAGTCATATAGGCACAAAGTGACAGGACGTACACTGTACGTCTCGTCACGAAGGGGGTTAAGGTTATTGAAAAAGCTTGCTGTACACACTGAAACTTATGTGAACAAGGCCTTGAGGTGGTAGAGCGAGTGCAAGTCTGCCCCTCTATAAAGCCAAGCTGGGGAAAGGACGGTAGGAGTGTACCCAATTTGTACCAAAGTGTTTTAATTGCACATTAATCAAGATACAAAAAAATAGGTTTGCATTATAACTGAATACTTCAACTCTTGCCAGTTACACTTAATGGGCAATTGTGCCCTTCATTTTCTTGCATAGATTGAACCATTTGTTAAATCAAAATTTAAAGTTAAGCAACAGGCTTGTCACAAAGTCCATGGTCCCCCTGCGAGCCATTTCCTCACAAATATGCAAGTAGCTGCTTCGTACCAATCCTATGTCAGGTTATGGCACATAAAAAGTTTAGTGAAGAGTGATGCAACCTCATGTGGTTTAGGAATTTTATCTTGACCCATAGAGACCCACAGCACCTTTCTATGTACTCAACAGTTACATAGCAGATCCATTGCATCCTAGTATGCATGAACTGCAGGTAGTTTTAAAGCATATTACTTCTAGCATGGGCAAGAGGAAAGTCATCAACAGCAAGTAATGCAAAATATTTATTAAATGTACAGAAAGGAACAGTGACAGTGAACAGTTGCAATACAAATTCCACTAGGGCACAAGAGCTGAAAAGGTAGCATGCATTGGCCCATGTTAAAGGCCAAACTTTGAAATGACATACATTCTTGCAGTGCTATATGGCCTCAGTTGGAACAAATGAATCTGACAATACTTTAGATCAGTTCAAAACTACTTTGTGAAATGGATTAAGTACAAAGTGACTTCTGAGACTGAAGCAAATTCATTCCTCTTTATTGGTTGCATCTGCCCCAGCATCACATTCTTCCTCCCCATGTGGACCAGCCAATGAGTAAAAGGGACCTACCAGCCAGTTTAGATATCTTTTGCTTTTACCACAATATGCATGAGAATAGTTTCCCTGCCTAGGAGGCATGTAGACAAGCTGTCCTGTTACAAGACTACATACTTCCCTGGATGGAGTACCAAGACTCGTCTTCCTATTCAGCACCTACGGCCAAGTTCCCAGTCACTAGGCCACAGTTGGGGGGGGGGGGTGAAATATATTTAGTTTGTGAGTAAGATCGTGATCTGTCCCAATAACGGCTCAAACAGTTTGAGCCGTCACTAGATCAGGAATAGAGGGCATTCTTAAGGTGAGCCTCAAGTGACAAGTGCCCAAGAAGGGATTCCACTTAAGTGGTCTTCTGGTTGTGGCCATCGGTCACTCATGTAGAAAAAAACATTAACTACAGACTAAAACCCCTGACATTGCAAGCCCTAGAACTAACCCTTTAGAAGACATGCTGCTAGTTTGTTAAAACATTTATAGCATCCATAGGCATTAATATATTCCAACACAAGCATGCTACAGATGTGAACTAACCAGGTCAACAGTGGTCTGAAGTTGAGTAATGGCCTCCTGACTTTTGCATTTTGCATCCCTGAATCTCGTCAAGGCTTGTTGGTAAGCACGTTTGCGGGCCTTAGTGGAGAGTGATCCCAAGCGAACATAGTAGCTTGCTTTCTCTGTTGATACCTCAAACCCTTCTGTTTTTGCAGCCTCCTTTGCTAAAATGGAAAAGACATTTAACACTGGTTAGTTAGATTTTAAAAAGGCAAGTAAATTCAAAACACTACCTCAACTCTTATTTATGGTGGCAAAGTGTCAGGTCACAGGGCAAAGAGGTTAACATTAGCTACCCCAACACAGTAGTTAAGCCTTTGTAATTAAGGCTAGTACTTACCTAGTTCTTCATCAGTTGGTGGCAGATATTGTTCCAGAAGAGTCTCAGACTTGGTAAGCGCAGTATCAACACCACTGCTCATCCTACGCACAGCTCCGCTCCCAAGAACAGTGTTAATGCTTCCATTTACAACAGCCTTGGTCATCTCCACACTGCCACACACAGCTCCCTTTGTCTTATCAACCACTCCGGTTATGCTCTGGATCACAGCATCTTTAGCATGGATCACAGCATCTTTAGCACCAACAACCACGACAGAGGCATTAGCAACAATCTAAAAAGGGAAAAGTAAATTCTAGTCATAAGAGTGTTAGTGTTCTTCCACTAGCTTATTATAGACAGCAAACAGTATTTAAGATAGTTTTACAGTTTTGGCAAACCGATCATATGACCTCAGAAAGCAGATAAACCACCACATAGATTGCCAGGCAGACAGTGCAAAGTTACATTTTTGTTTAGCTTCAAATTGTAGAGCTGCATGAAACCATTTCAAGTTTAACATCTTCCAGTGTTATTATAAGAAGCGTTTTGAATGAAGACAACTATGGGCAAAAAGTCTGGTCATAGTTCTTATGGGTCACAGGAAGACAAAAGCTTATTACTACAGTGTAAGCTTTTGTTAGTCTGAGCATGCATGTCTCAAATCAGTAGAGGGCACAATGTAAAAGCCAGCTGGTCGGTGATCAGCTTATTACTTGTTCTAAACTACAGGTGTTTAACCCCTTCACGACCAAAGACGTACAACAAGTCGCTGGCATCGTGGCCATTTAAACAGAAGCCGGCAGGACTCTGTTTAAACTTGTAAAGACAACTGCCTGCTTTACAGTATAAGCGATTCTGGTGACTCAGTTGTAGCCAGATTGCCTCTACGGGCCAGTGAATGGGTCCCACTCCGCCCGACACCCCTGCTGTGTTTCCTGAGCTCTGTTGCCCCTCCCACAGGCCTGGCGGGAAGCTGGGGAGGAGATGGACGAATCTCCGTTCGTTGATCCCCCTCCCTGTTCTATGTGACCGCGAGCGATGCAGATTGCATCACTTCCAGTACCATAGCTGTCAGTGCTGGGCTCCTGAAGCTCAGCTATAGAAATGTGATCTGCACTTCAATAGCTTATTGAGAGTGTAAAGCTAACCCTCGTGGTCTTTTGGACCCCCAGCATCACCTTAAACAGTACCTGTCACCACCATCTGCCATCACATGGGGGGCTTGTAAGCCCCCCCTATGTGATAGCAATTTAAAAGACATTTTTAGATATATTTTATTTAATGCTAATTTTTAAACTATTTTTGAAGTTCCCTGTGAGCAAGCGCATCTTCACGCAAGCACACGTTGAGTGCAACTACGTATGAAAACGACGAACGCGCTACACGTTAGGTATCGCCGCGCACGCCGTAGTGAGAGCAATAATGCTAGAGAATCTCTAAACTGGTCGACCTGTGAGGGCTTTTTAAACATCGTCTATGGACTTTTTGGGGTACTGAATTTTGTTGCCGTTTCACAGACGCACAATTTTTAACCAGGGGCGGTATCTATATACTCTTAACCTAATCTTGTATATTTAATGTAAAACATTTTTTTTTAAAGGCCTCAGTCATGAAGGGGTTAAGTAGCTGCAACACTTACCTTGTCACTAGGCTGATACAAAATAGGCAGTCTCTCTTCAATCTTATCAAGTCCAAGGCAAGCAAGGTTGTTTGCTATGGCAACTACAAGAGGGAAAGGAAAACCATTTAGTCTGATGCAACAGTACACTGCTCTGCAGTAAAGTTCAGGGTGACTACTGAACAACACTGTCTAGCTACATGACATTTCACCTACTTCCTACACAAGCCGCTAGGAAACCAAGCCGTCTGGCTCTGCAGGGTTTACAGCTACAGAAAATACTCATTTCTGGCAGTTAGATTTTTAGGAGACTGACTGGATTTGCTTCAAATTGCATGCTTAAAACATTTGACCATGAACATTGTCAGATCTATGTGATTGATCTAGCATCAGAAGTTTCACTAGCACTAATCTACATAAACAAAGTTACAGCAAAAACTGTTTACTGGAATAGTAAGAAAACACAGGAAATATCAGTTTCCATTGCTGCCTTCTGAAAATACCCATTGCCAGGGAATTCCTAAAATTATTATAAGGCAAGCCTTTAGATCAACGGTTTTTTTTTTTTTTTTATCTACTTGCTGCCTGACAAAGTTCTGAAGCAAGGATATTGAAAGGAATCTTTAGAAGTCATGTCAGAAGCCTCCACACTGTAGCAGTGCTCAAATGACACTATACATCTATACTAACTACACAACCAGTTACATTTTAGAAAAAGAAACATACTTTGAGGTTCCAGTTTGTGGATTATTGGCATGGCCCCAGTCACAGCCACTGTAGTGATAGTCTTCACACTCTGCTCTGCCACACCACACACCGATTTCAGGTAGGGATGGGAATCCTTAGTGTTAACATACACAGATTGCACTATATCATATGTTGAGCTCACCAAGGGGAGGTTAATGAGCCTAACCACCACATTCTGTTGTGGAAAATGTAAGAGTTAGACATCAGCAATCTTTTATACATTTGAGGCATACATACAACTGGTCATTCTACTCCCAAAGACAGAACTGCATGTCTGCAAAACCCTATGTGATTACACTTAGAGCTGACCCTCACTTTTAGAGGCAACATGTAATGAAATTTCTCTTTAACCGAGTCCTATGGTTCCACATTTAATTGAATTCAGTAGGGAACACCTTTGCAATTTAAATCCCCTTTTGGCTCAATTTGTTTTCAAATTATGCATCAATTAAGCAGGTTCTGTTTCTCTAGATTGAAATATGGGCTCTGCACCCAGGAATGTGGTATGGAATGCACAGGAGGCGAATTTAAGAATAATATTTGTTAGAAACATAGGAGATATATTTGTGTGGAAGATACAGTTTAGGATAGAAAAAGATTAAGCCGAGTTTATTACTAATCCTCTACCCCAGATTCTGAAAAATGGCATGACGCACAGAAACATTTAGATAAAACCTTTTACAAAATGCCAGATACAAGCTCTTTATACAAAAAAAAAATGCAATGGGAAGAGGGGAAAAGTACAAGGTATTAGCACAAATAGCTTATACACACTGCTCCATTCCATTTGTAGTGGCCAAGGGAGACTGCAGGAGGGGAGATTACAAAAGCGCCAGACAAGATGGGATTCATTTTTTCTCCAATTGTTTTGTCACTTTAGTCTACAGCTCACTAGTCAGTTAAATGGTTACACAAGTTTAGGAAAAAGTGTCCTTGCCATCTTTACCCTCCATAGAAAAAACAAACAATTAGTAGCTTTAATTACTAATAGTTAACTACTGCTGTTGTAAGTTTCCCTAATGGCAAGGCTTGTGAGATGGACCGCCTCCCTATCAAGGGATATAGAAAAAACAAAAACTGGGAATAGCTTATATACAAATGAGTAAACTAAAGAGATAGTCCATCACAGGATGGAGCGGTGGCTACTTTACAACACACACAGGGACCATGGGGAACAAAAGTAGCCACCCTCCAGAAGGAAGGACAGTGTCCGCACCAATTCAGAGATGATTTGAGGATCTACAGCTGAGTGATACACAAATAAGATACATTTAATAGTTAGGGCTAGTTCACACCAAGCGCATTCCAGGAGCAGAGCTGTTACAGAACGCATCAAAACTGAGTCCAATGGTATTTGGGGGTTTAGTTCACACCGCAGCGTTCAGTTCCAGTGCATGTAAACAAAAACTGCAGCAGCAAGCCCTTTTTTTCTGCTCTGAAACTGCAAACGCATCAGATCTGCACACGCAGTGCACTTTACTGCGGTTTTTTATGCATTCCAGGTCACTTTTGTAAAAATGGGCTTTGTGTGTTCCAGGGCATTTGCATGTGTTCCAGAGCAGGAAGAATAGGGCTTGCAGCAGTTTTGTTTTTTACATGCTCTGGAACTGAACGCTGCGGTGTGAACTAGAGCCCAAAATACTATTGGAATACATTTGACGCAGTTTTGATCCATTCTGTAACTGCTCCTGGAACACACTTGGTGTGAACTTGCCCTTAAGGTGATCAAATGGATTTTTAAGTCCCAAGTTTAGTGTCACTAAGGTGACAAAGACCCACACATGCACTTCCATCCCTCATCTTCTAATTACCATCTATTGATAACAGAAGCTGCCCATCATGATAGAGTTAAAATCCTTAGACATCGAGAAAAGGCAAGCTTTTTTTTTTTTAAATTGGTATGTCATGCGATTTGGAACAACTAGTGGCAGTTCCTAAAATTAGGAATGTAAAAGGGGGAAATACACATTAAGCCTTTAGATAAGAGTATTAGGCTACTATACGGTAGAAGCACACAATCTAGTCCCAGTTACCTGCTGCTGCTGCTGTTGTTGCTCCACTAGCTCAGCCATAGTGTTCAACCTACAGGATAGAAACAGTACATTAGTGATGAAGGAGGCTTCAGCAGTCATGAAGACGCCAGAAAATATTATAGAAACCTCTTCAGACAGCAAACACGTGACTACAAGCACCCATACTTACCAGAACAAGCTCACGCAAAACAAGTTCACCAAGGAATGAATAACTTGTTGTGGGCTGTTCGCTCATTTATAGGGCATCCGGTCACGCCCCAATGACATAGACCCCTCCCTGCTATCAGCTGATTGTGAGACAGCTGCGGTGACATCATAAGTGATGTCCAGTTCCTGAACGGATCGTTCTTTTGAATCGATTGTCTTCAGTGAACCGGATGAGTGGATTCCTCTGAGTGAGCTGATCCGTGTGAAGCAGCTCAGTATAGAATGAATAGGTGTGCGGCACTGTAATATAATTCTAGTGCAGAGCTCAGCTTCTGCAAGCCCTGCCCAGCTCCTCCCTACAACCAATCACATCTGTGAACTAGCTACAACCCTCTAACAGATCTGAGTCACAGCACACTGAGTCTAAAGCCCGTGACACACTGCACGCAAACCTGCGCAGAGCGAAGCAAAGCTGTCCGGCACGGAGCTTTGCGTGCAGTGTGTGAGCTGAGTGCAGGCAGATGATTGACTGCACCTTCAGCCAATTGGCTCGTGCATAACAACCAGCCAGACGTCGCATGCTGACACGCAAATTTATACGTGCGAGCCGATTGGCTAAAGATGAAATTTTTCATCTCTGCACGCTCAGCTACGCGAGCTCTCGCAAGCTGGCGTGCAGAGGAGAAAATTACATGACACACTGCTCGCGAAGGCAGCGCGCCACTGCTCTGCGCTGCTTCGTGTGCAGTGTGTCACAGCCTTAAGACTCCTGAGTCAGAACTGAAAAGTTCGGATCTTGAAATTAATCGGTTCACTTGCTGAGTCGCTGACAAGTGAACCGAAGCTCAGGAGCTGTCTGACTATGACTCTGTTTCAGAGAAGGGGGGCAGCTCCTGGGGATCAGTGCCTTGCCTCAGAGAGGTCACACGTTTGGTTTTATGTCAGACCAGCCATTCTATCACATCAGCCAATGTCATCACTTCTGGTGATGCGCGATCAGCTGACAGTAAAAAGCGTGTTCCTGCGCATGCGCTCTGCATTCTGATGAGGTGATGTCACATTGATAGCGGTCAGATTTGTCCCTAGTGTTTACAGCGTATGGGTGGGAATAACGATAGGATTTTAGTAGCGTGGGCACAGTACCTGTGGTAGTAAATCCAATTGTTATTGCGCTCTAAACACTAGGGACAAATCTGACCGCTACCAATGTGACATCAGCTCATCAGAATGCAGAGCGCATGCGCAGTAACACGCTTTTTATTATCCCACCTGATCGCGCGTCACCGGAAGTGACCACTTTGGCTGATGTGATAGAATGGCTGGTCTGACATAAAACCAAACTTGCTACATCTCTGAGCAAAGGCACTGATCACTGATCCCCAGGAGCTGCACCCCTTCTCTGAATCAGAGTCTTCTGATTCGGATCTTTTATGAAGGGCAGACAGCTCCTGAGCTTCGGATCACTTTCTTGTCAGCCGACTCATCAAGTGAACCAAAGAGCCGATTCATGAATCGGTTCTTTTGAATGAACTGATCCAAATGAACCGATTCATTTGAAAGATCCGAACTTGCAATCTCTAGACATCATCTGCATTGCTCTACGCGTGGAAGGGTGACTGCCTATAGCAGGCAAGGGTCAAGGATGTAGGGGAGGTGACATTTCTAGGACTTGTGTAAACTGAAAGTGCTCATGGTGACATCCAGCGATCTGCAGTGGGTTACATGCCTGGCGTTGGGACAGTGGTAACTAAGGCTAGGTTTAGATGTGGGCAATCCCTGGAGTCGTGATCGCGCACAGTTGTACACAGCGATTGCCACTTCGGTTCAGTACGATCTGCAAAAATGCTGCAAGCACTATCGTGCAGTGTTAATTTGATTGACGGAAATTGTCGGGTTTTTTTTTGCCCGTTTTTCAGTAACAGAAATTAAAACGAAATTAAAGAGTAGTTAATGTGGCGAAAATGATTTGTCCTGTACTAAATTTTCGTCAATGAAATAAAACAAAAACAAAATCATTAATGAGAATCGTTGTCATTGATTCTCATTATTGATTATTTGCATCGCTGCTGCCGCCGTACTGCTCGTCCGTTCTCCTCCCTAGTGGGGTTGGCTGCAGCGGTCTGTGTCCCTTTCAATCCCCGCTGCTCTCCCCACCTGTATCGGCAGAGGCAGCGGGGAGTGAGATACAGACCACTGCAGCTGGCACCAGCATATATAAATAAACAGAAAATATAAGCGTGTATTCTAGACTTTAGATAGGATTAAATCTCAACCCATATTGTATCGCAGCAGCATGTCAAAGCTGAGCGTATCCAAGATCCAAAATATTCCAAAATAATAAATGCACAGTTCACCAGTAAAGCATTACAACCACAAACAGTGGATCTAGCTCAGTGGTGCCATGCTCGTTTACAGCCGCCCGAATCACTACCAGTGTAAAGCCAACAGTCGGCTTTAAACATGTAAATTGACTCCCGGATGCTATAGTCAGGAGTCTACTTATGGGGTCCTGCTGTTGCTAATGCATGGCATACGTCAGCAGCAGCGAAAGGGTTAAACAACAGGCATCTAGGGTCTGGAGTTTTCTATGCTATTGATATGAGTGGTGTCACCATACCAATATCAAAAGCTTTCTAAGGCCCACAGAAATAAGGATGTGTATACCTATCATTATGGCAAGAATTAAAATAGATCACCAAATTATTTGAAAATAGTTATTCCACTTTAAGTAAAATAATCTGCAAGTGGGGTAGAATTAAAATGATAGCTAATTTAAGCAGGACTGGCTGACTCAGTAATTTCAGCCCAGAACTGTTTAATGCTTGTTCACACCATGTCCAGATCATGTCCAGACCAGAACAGTTTTTTCCCGGACCAAAAAAGCATCCCAATGTATCCCTATAGTATTTCTGGGCTCTGTTCACACCAGCGCAGTCTGTTCCAGACCAGACAAAAACAAATACTGCTTGTCTCATTTTCTCTGGTCTGGAATGCATGGAAATGCATAGAAAATGCATGCAAACGCACTGGAATGCACTGGGTTGCAGCTGAATGGCCATTTTAAGCTAAAAGAAAAAAAAATCCAGAATGCGGCAAAATTGCAGTAAAAACGCAAAGCTCCACGTTCCAGATCAGGTCCAGATCTGGCCTGGTAAAGGGTGTGAACCTGGTCTAAAAGAAGTGCCCAGGAACCCCAGAATTTAATTGTGGGATGTGCAGGTAACTCTTATAATAGTATACGCATCTAAAATCAGGAAGCAATTGTACCAATGTAACCTGAATGGAATTACAGCAAGACAACAGTTTGTTATTGAACATATAGGCAGAGATCAGGCCTTCTGGAACAATGTGCTATGAACTGATGAATCAGAGGCAAAATTGTTTAGCCATAGCTACAGTATACACGTTTGGGGCAAACCCAATACAGCATCACAGGAGAAAGACCTCATACTAACTGCGAAGCAAGGTGGTGAAAATATTATGGTTTGGTGTTGTTTTGCTGCTTCAGGCTCTGGGCAGCTTGAGGTCTGGGCAGCTTGCAGTGATCAATTCAACTTAGAATTTTGCATCATGTTATTGTGTGCCAAATAAGAATGTGAGGCTATCTGTCCGAAAGTTGAGGCTAAACCGTAAATGGCACTTTTAACATGATAATGCTCTGAAGCCCACTAGCAAATCCATAAAGGAATGGCTTGAAAAAGAGAAATGGAGGGTTTATGGATTGGCCTGATGATATGCTGATTTGAATCTCATTAAAATGTTGTGGTGGTATTTGAAAGGGGCATTTTATGTAAGGAAACCAACCAACATTGTGCAACTCAAGGAAATATGTGTGGTCACAAATTCACAAAGTCGATATAAAAAACTAATGGCCAGCTGTGTAAAATGCTTAGAAAAGGTCATTTCTGCTAAAGCTTCGGAGGCCAAGGATGCACTTAGTTTTTCCACAGTACACCATTGCACCTACTGTTATTTTTGTTAAATAAATGATGGAAAAGACAAGTTTTCCTTGTGTTCTAATTAAGTATATCACCTTTATCTTTAGGCACTCTTTGAATAAAGATCTAAGGTTTGCCTGTACAAGTATGTTAAATAAAAAGTCAACAACTTCCATGGGGTGTACTTACTTTATCACTTGAATGTACCTGAGGAGAACTGGTTTTATTGCTTTGGTGTGGTAAAGGTGAGCGCATGGTACTGATCTATTAGCCCTCGTTCACACCTGAACGTTTTGTAGCGCGTTCTACGCTCGACGAACGCTCTACAAAACGCTCAAAAATATAAATCCCATTGTATTCAATGGTCTCGTTCCCACCTTGGCGTATTTCCGCCCGTCCCTAACGTTCTACAAAACGGCCCACGCCTGATAAGGTACATGTACTACTTTGGGCCGTTTTGTTGCACGTTTCCATTGGGATACAGCCAAGTAGCCTTCAGGAAACGCGCGTTTGTCGCGCGACTTTTTTAACGCAAATCGCGGTAAAAAAACGTGCGACAGACGCGCATATGCAATACGCCTAGGTGTGCTGAGGGTACGGTTCTTTTCTTTGAAGGGGGAGTTGATTCTGTACTCTTAGATGGCAGAACAGTGGCTTAGTAGTTGGCCCTCCTGCCTTGCAGTTCTGGGGGTCAGGACACTATCTGTAAGGAGTTTGCATGTTCTGTGCTTGTGTGGGTTTCTGGGGTACTCCGGTTTTCTCCCACACTCCAAACACATGCTGGAAGGTCAATTGACTTCTGTCTTAGTTAGCACTATATGCATGTGAGATAGGGACCTTAGATTGTAAGCTCCTTGATGGCAGGGACTGATGTGAATGTAAAGAGCTAAAATTGTTGGGGCTATAGAACTACCTATGGTTGTGTTTATGTAGTTTAGATTGTAAGCCCTCATG